CATCGAGGGGCGATATATTTCCCCTCGCTTTCTGTTTTCGGGTTGACTTAGGGCAGGGGTGCCCATTAGGTAGATCGTGATCTACCAGTAGCTCTCAAAGCTGATGCTGGAAGATCACGAAGGGTGTGAATGGTGGCCCCTTATTCCATTTTGGTATATTTATTTAGCTGTGCAAACATGATTACATATTAGCCCGAGTCTGCTGAGTCAAGCTCCCTGACTCCTTTCTGGTGGATACTGGTGGTTGAAGTGCTATGTATTACATCAAAGAATATTAGTTTACACAGCCTGTTGCACTACACTGTTTGCAAAAAACAGCAAGGTGAGCCAGGATTGAGAGCGAGGAGAGACAGCCCGGAGAGAGAAGAGAGACAGCCAGAAGAGAGGAGAGACAGCCAGGGGAGAAAGCAAGGAGAGACAGCCAGGGGAGAGAGAGAGGAGAGACAGCCAGGGGAGAGAGCAAGGAGAGACAGCCAAGAGAGCAAAGAGAGACAGCCAGGAGAGAAAACGAGGAATGACAGCCAGGAGAGAGAGAGCGAGGAAAGACAGCCAGGAGGATGAGCAAGGAGAGACAGCCAGGAGAGAGAGAGTGAGGGAGTTTTTTTTTCGTTGGTAGATTTCATGTAGCTCGTCATTTGAAAAGTAGATCTCAACACGAAAATTGTGGGCACCCCTGACTTAGGGTCTGAATAATCCAGCTCGGGTTTTGTGTCTCTCACCTGGATTGTTAATTGCTTAATGATTGATTAAACAGACGCGATAAAAGGGGAAGGCTGGAGCATGATGCTGCTCTGGCCTGGGACTCAGACAGCATTCTGAGAGAGCTACAAATTGGATGTTTGTGAGTTAAAGGTTGCTGAAATAAATATATATATAGTGGATAGTGGGGTATAGCTCAATGGGAATCACACTCACACAAAGCCCCATTTCCAGAAAAATTGGGACGCTGTGTAAAATCTACATAAAAACAGAATGCAATGATTTGTCTCAAAAAAGTTGGAACAGGGTCATGTTTACCACGGTGTAGCACCCCCTCTTCTTTTAACAACACTCTGTAAATGTCCGGGAACTGAGGAGACCATTTGCTGGAATTTTATTATGTTTCCTCAATGTCAAATTGCAAAGACTCTAAATATATCATCATCTACAGTATATAATATCATTAAAAGATCCTGAGAATCTGGAGAAATCTCTGTGCGCAAGGGACAAGGCTGAAACGCAATATTGGATGCTTGTGATCTTAGGGCCCTCAGACGGCACTGCATTAAAAATAGGTATGATTCTGTAATGGATATCACTGCATCCCCTCACAAATACTTCCAAAAATCACTTTCTGTGAACACAGTTTGCTGTGCCATCCAAAAATGCAAGATAAAGCTCTGTCATGTCATGTCATATCTGAAGATGATACAGTAATGCCGCTGTCCTCTCTGGGCCAAAGCTCATTTAAAATTGGTTTTACAAAGTGGAAAACTATTCTGTAGTCAAACAAAATTAAATTTTACATTCTTTTTGGCAACCATGGGTGCTGTGTCATCCGGATTAATAAATGAGGGACCTTCTGGCTTTCTATCAGCGCTCAGTTTAAAAGCCTGCATTTCTGATGGTATGGGGGTGAAATAGTAAGCATGGAATGGGCAGCTTGCAAATCTGGAAAGGCACCATCAATGCTGAAATCCTGGTTTTAGAGCAGCATATGCTCCCATCCAGATTGTCTTTTTAAGGGAGGGCCTTTTATATTTCAGCAAGACAATGTTAAATCGCATACTGCATCTATGACAAAAGCATGGCTTCATAGTAGAAGAGTCCGAGTGTTTAACTGGCCTGCCTGCAGTCCAGACCTTTCACCAGTTGAAAATATTTGGCACATCTTGAAACTAAAAATACGACAAAGAAGACCCAGGACTGTTGAGCAGTTAGAATCCCATATCAGGTAAGAATGGGACAACATTCCTCCCCCAAAACTCCAGCAACTGGTCCCCTCAGTTCCTAGGCATTTACAGAGTGTTGTTAAAAGAAGAGGGGATGTTAAACTGTGGTAAACATGGCCCTGTCCCAATTTTTTTTGAGACGTGTTGCTGCCATCAATTTCAAAAGGGAAATGAATTTTTTTTATTAAAATGGTACATTTTCTCAGTTTAAACATTTGATATGTTTTCTATTTTCTACTGTCAATAAAATATGGGTTTATGAGATTTGCAAATCATTGCATTCTGTTTTTATGTAGATTTTACACAGTGTCCCAACTTTTATAGAATTGGGGTTGTACAACAACAGTTCCTAAAGTTTGAGCCTTAGGGAAGGCAACACCAAGTCTTAACTTGGTGCCCACTTTTCTGTGCTCACTCTTCTGTTGTCCAAGATAAAGCATTACCTCATAGACCTCAGAGACCATAAACAATGCTGTCATTGGAAAGCTGGAAGTAAGTGGAGTGAATCTTAGCCCTGAAAATGGAATTTTCTGCTGCACTAGCACATAGGAGAGGGTTTTTGGGTTTATAAAAATTCTACTGCCTACTCTATTTCCATGATACCTATGGCGAGTTCTTACCTGCTCTGTGAAAAGTGCAAGATCTTCAATATCTTTTATTACATCCTTTTTTCTGTTGTTTCCTCCTTCTGGATTGTTTTTGTTAGGTAGTTTTCCTTCTTTCCTCAGTATCTCCCGCTCTCTGAACCCTCGATAATTGCTTTGTATTACCAGTGCCGCCTTCGCTTTATCGTCTTCAGTTTCCAGATGTTTTTCACTATCTTCATTAGATTTTTCACAGTTCTGAGATATTTTATGACCAACATCTGAGTGGTTATTATTTTGTACGTCCATATCTATGGAATGACTCAAGGGAGGACTGTGGGATGATTGGGCTGTGGTTGTATTTTTCTGTCTCTCTTCTTGAAATATCTTTCTGTCTCGGTAGCCACGGTAGTTGCTTTGAATGACTACGGCAGCTTTATCTTCTTCCATGTTACTTTTCTCAATGCCATTGTGATTACTTTCCTGCTCCTCAGTTTCCTCTTCGGGAGGAACTGAATTGCCTTTTTCTAAACTTGAATTGCCTGGTTCTTGAATTTGTTGACGTTCAGCCTTCATTTTCTTCCTCTGTTGGTGGCCTCTAACATGGCTCTGGATGACAATGGCTGCATCCTCTTCACTTTTCCCATTTGTGGGCTCCTCAGCCTCTATTTTCTCTTTCTCTGGAGGATCAGTTGCTGTGACATTATTTGTGTCATCACACTTCTTTCTTTTCAGTGATTCCCTACCAAAACAGCATAATATTAGGCAAGTGACATGAATAAATGTACTATATATAACTATTATGACAAAAGAAAAGGCCGGAAGGCAGTTGCTGAGCTGTGTTCTCCTAGGCGTGGGAGGAGGAAGCCTCAACATGCATGCATGAAGAGAATGCTCCTGGAATTACACATATGTACAATATCTTTTGAGCTATGCACTTTCACTCTTATATAGTGCCACAACAAGTAAGATTTTGTAATGTGTAACATGATCCAGTAGGGCCAATATATCACTCAGAACTAATGATTTTTAAAGTTAAGCAAGCATAATACCAAACAATATTTTGATTTACCCAATGGAAAATACAATAACTATTTAAAGATGAGCTTCAGGCAAATAGTTAATATGCACCTGAAATACACATATGAAAACTGCTTTGCATTCCATTGAATTTATTTGATCCAACTATTTCTTAGATTTACACAGCCAAGTTGGATAGCACAGCAGTTAAGCAATACTGCTTGGTCACCTTCCTGTCCCCAGTCTGTGGCGGGGCAATCAAGGATCAGTAGCAAACTAAAGAGGTTCCTGCTTTCCTCTTTCCTGCTATCAGCACGTTACTTGTCAAGACAAGTGCACTCACTAGCTCATATTGCTGTCTCTTCCTCTCTCTGTCTGAGTATTACTGTACAGGGGATTACCAGACAGACTCATGAGCATTAGACATGTGCTGGGCAAAAATATTTTTATCAGTCGAAACAAATGAAAAACATTTTCATTCTTTTCGTCAATGGAAACAAATTTTAATGTTGTTTCAGATTCTGAACGAGACTCTGAATCCGAAAACCGCACAAAAAAACTGCAGAACGAGCAGCAGCCATATCGGCCACCAGACCGTTCTGCGCATGCGTGCCGCCATTTTGGAGTATATGTTAGTATACACCAAGATGGAGTATACCAAGATATACTCCAAAGTGGCAGCGCACATGCACAGAACACGCTGGCTGCCAGTTTGGCCGCCACTCGTTTTGCGCATAACATCACCCATGACATAGCGTCATGTGACGTTATGCACTCCGCCTCCAAGATGGCGGCGGGCATTGTCACAATGGCCAGCAGTCAATATGGCCATCGTGCGTTCTGAGAAATAATTTGTGTAGGAGTCTTTAAAGGCTATATATAGGCCTTGTACTCTATCTCCAGGATGTATAGCTATCATACTTTTTCCTTTCAAAGCTCTTCCTCTCTTTGAACCCCCGATAATGAGCTTGGATTGTAACTGCAGCATCATTCTTCTGTTTAAGCATATCCTTCGCCTTCTTCCTCACTAGATATCCCCTGGCACCTGTAACACATAACAGGTCAATGAAGAATGTAACATGCTATCATAGTAATAATGAGCACTTACGTGGGAGGAAAATGAATACATACATGCTTGAAACTTTGTAATGAAATTTTGCATCTCTGTTTTGCTGTGTAGATCCTTGCGAACCGCATGACCCCTGTAAGCTTTACAAAGAAAAACCAGGTATAAGCCAAAGTACATAGATACAAATACAAGATCTTCAGTGCTAGAAAAAAACAGGAACATCATTGCACCTCCCAAATCAGTATCCTTCATTCATAATACCTATATTAATAAGGTGCAGGTGGCTTATAATTGCTTTAGTGTAATTAACCAAAATTAGGCATCCTTTAGGGGTCTATTTCTAAATAATTTGCAGGATCCTTTACCCTGCGAATATCTTTGAATGTTTGTTTTGTGCAAATAATAGAATAAATGAAGGCTCTTAATATATTTTATTTTCAAGTCTAATGTATTATGAGGTAATACTGCTTTATAACCACTAGATGGAACTGAGGAACATAGAAAAGATGTATTTTTTCCCCTATGTTCCTCAGCCCCATCTCGTGGCCATAATGGAGAATTACATCACAATACATTCAACCTGAAAAGAAAATGTATTAAAGCTGAACTTAAGCTTTAAAAATGAATACTTATATCGAAAATATATTTACCTACATGACACAGCTTGGCATCACATCCCTGCCCTTCATCCAATCAAAGAATGCCTAGTATTCATTGAGAAAAATACTAGGCATCATTTGAATGGCCGCTGTACTGAGCAAGTGACCTACTGTGTTTTATCGGCACAGAGGAAGCGACTAAGCACACCAGCTGTTGTATTACTGTGTAGCTGCTGCTGTAGCTGCCACTACCACAGTGTAACACACAATTCCTGTGACCTTGCCAGGAATCATTTATATACACGTACATTGTGCCCAGCTGGACCACTGTAAGTATATATCATTTTTTAAAGCTAGGGTGCCGCTTTAAGAACATTTGTTTTTGTCATTATTCACACAAGACTATGATTCACAGATATTCGCAGGGCAATGGACCCAGCAATTTGTTTATAAATAGACCCCAGCGTGTATGTCAGAACAAAATAAAACATATATGCAGTTAATTTCTGAAATACATGCACATTTGCCTTTGTTTTTTCCCCTTTGCAAGTACATAAAAATACCTAAATACCTTATAATTCTGCCAGAAATGCACTCGGCTCCTAATTTCCTATAGTGAACAGTCTTTTCAGCCCTGCCTAGTTCCCTGCTGGAATACAGAAAACCTCCCTTTCTCTCCCTCTCCAAAATATAAGGGGGAAGTATTCTGTAGTCCTATGCATAAAGAAAGTTGGAAAATATACACACTGTAACTAGAGGATTGACATAATTCATCTGATATTCAGTGCAAACTGTATTTTCTACATGAAAATAGGAAAATATACACAAAAGGGATGGACACTACTGTACATTTTGCTGTGTATAAAGAACCCCCTATGGGATGACTGTTATGTGCTATGCAACAAATAACCTGTGCGTTATAAAAGCTCGATAATAAAATATATCTGTTATATCATTGACAAAATGATTGATTCCCCTGCCCTGGCATCTAATGGAAACTCAGAACATATCATGTTTTGCTGGAAGGATGCTCACTAGCTATTACTCTTCTGAATTACCTGTATATGTTCTGTGTTTGGGGCTTTTAGATCATGATTGTTATCGACTAGAGAGATGATAGCTAATGTTAAAGCTACAGACAATTTTTTGTTGTGGATAAAATGGGTGAGGGTTGGATCCTCTGCCAGATTTTTGATACTGTCTTTGTCCCTATTGGGAAACATTCTACTCACTTCCTGTTAGAACAGTGATGGGAAATCTCATCAATAGGGACAAAACACATTTCTATTCCAGTGGGACAGGTTAGAAATCCTGATGTATGTGCCCTCCTGTCCCAGTGACAACTTCACCCCCCATTTCCTGCCTTGTGTCACAGGGATAGAAGTTGAAGGAAAATCTCCTCAGTGGGGTCACATGCAGAAATACAAACTCGGCATACATTACTCTATTGAAAAAAAAAAAAGTCTAGGATTAAACTGTGAACATTTGCAAAACATGAACCATCAACATTCTTAGGGTACACATAAACATGACAGAGTTTGATGATCTGACCACTTTCAGCTAAATCATGTAATGATTTTATTTTTGTGGGTTTCCCTAGTCCATCTGCCCACTGCTAGGAGAATGCTTGATTGGGCAGGTGAAAACCTAAAACGAAAGTGCTTCCTATTCTGCACCCGTCTTCACCAACCAGACTTTAAAATGGATGTAACACTGCTGCAGGTCCCCAGAGCATTAGCACAATGGGATAGTACCCCCTAGTTAGACCTACACTCCTACTCCTCATCCCAACCACCACAGCTGCCATCTTTTTCTGGTCTCCTTCCGCATCCTGTATCTTTTTTCTTTGGCCATGAATTGTCCACTGATGATATAACTCCTGCAGATGTACAAAATCCTCTGGGCTGGGACTGTATACTGCACTGTGCATTCTCCACAGGCAGCGTATGAAAACATACTGCATCTGTACAGAGGCTTACCAGAGGGAGTCAGCCTGATGTGCAGATATGCGCCTGGTCGGACTAGGCGTAGATCTGCTCCTAATATCTGAGCTATATTTAGTGTAGATATTAGTTTACATGGTGCAGAAACTGCAACATTCCTGTGACAAATCAAAATTTTCCAGGATTTCTGCACATGTTGCAAATCATCTTCATTATAGACACACAGGGGGGATTTAACAAAACTGGAGCAGACAAAGTCTGGAGCAGATTTGCACCACAGCCAATCAACTTCTCTCTGATTTTAAAATTTTACTTTGCAAACTGAAGACAGATGCTGATTGGTTGGCAAACTGAAGACAGATGCTGATTGGTTGCCATGGGCAACTGCTCCAGATTATGTTTGCTCCAGTTCTGATAAATTCTCCCCACAGTGTTGATGATTTGGCACATGTCACGTTTGCATCATAAGTCCGCAAAAAAATATTTCAGATTAACAATAGTTTATTTAGCCCAAAGTCTTTTCTTCCAAAAAAAAAACACCTCTACCTGCTAAAGCATTTTTCTTTTTTAAGCTAGGTTGCGCTTTAACTAAAAGCTTGGCTGAGCTCAGCTTGGAGGTCTATGTAAATCTTTTTAGTTTTGGAGGGTGATCCAATGGAACTTGCACATTAGACCACCATCTTAAATCTATGGCAGCTTTAAGTTGTGTGTACGTTTTGAAATGTCTTACTCTGAACAGTTGTAAATACCGCACACATAAGAAGCTTTTTAAAGCTAACCAAACAACACTGGAACAATTGGATAACGGTAGACTTGGAAAGAAAAAAGGAAAAATATACTAAAACTCAGCTGATCTCAACTTAGAGACCTTTTTTTCCTGTTAACAGAGAATATTGAGGCCGGGTTTACATATTTGCATTACATTAGTGCACATGCTTTACTGCACTTTACTGTACCACATTGTAACATCTCAAGTTCAGTCCATTGTAGTGAATAACTCCACTAGTGCACTACAATAGATTTGCGTTTTAGCACACCAGGGCACACAGATATGAACTATCTGTTCTTAGTGGTGAACTGGAAAACAAAAGGTGAATATTAGGTCCATTGTTGTGCATTGGCAGCCCATGTAAAGTTAATGGGCTGCCTTGCCACAATCACTTTACAATACAATACAACACGCCACAACTATGTGAACCCAGCCTGAATCAATAGGGCTAATTGGGGCTGATTTGTTTTACCTATGTACTGCATTCCCATCAACTTACAGTAAAGGCACCTCCACTAAAAGCCCTACTTCAACCCTCCTGAGATATGTGGCTATATGTGACAAGTTTCAGGTAATCACAGTAGCTGAACTGAAAATGTTTAATATGATATTTGAAAAAAAATTAGTACACTTAATATACATGTCTGGAGGTTTTGTTTGAGAATATAAAGAGCACATGATTACCTGACTGTATCTTCACAGCACTTTCCTGTCTCTTCTGCTTCAGTTTTTGGTACCTCTTGGCTCCCAGCCACCCTTTGATACAGGCCTGAAGAACAACTATTTTGTTAACTGTGCTCTTTACCATACGGTCCAGCTGCTCAACGTGGAAGTACTTAAGGAAAACCTGAGGACAGTACAGAGTGTTGTTATTGGTTGACATGCTAATAAATGGACAAGGAAACAGAACATATTGACTGAACATCAGTTGGTCCGTTTCCCAGGACCTGTACTATGAGAACCTGCTAGACATTCACACTTTACGTATACAACCAACATTTTCTTAGTTTCATATGTTTGCCATTGGTCATTATGGGTGTGGGGCAGCCCAGTGGCGTAACCAGAGTTATGGGCGCCCGGGGCAGAACATTTTTTTCGCCCCCCCCCATATTATAATACAGGGAAAGGTAAGTATGAATCTACAGGACTTAGCTTAGTGTTAGGTGTTAGTGTAAGACCAGTGTTAGAGGTTAAATGTAGGTTAGAGAGTTCATGTTCAGAGTTATGGTTACCCTTTGTTAATAATCTGGCTGGAGTTGGACTTTGAACCCCAGCTGAAGTCTCACACCATTTTAATTCCCTAAAGCTCTGTACACCCACATGTTATGATTTGTGCTTTGAATTCCCTTAAATTCTTTTTTGTAAAAAAAAAATGTAATTGAAAGTGCGATTCATGCTTACTGCCCTCACACTCTAGTGCCTTGTGCTGGCATAGCTGAGTAACAGCCACACTCCTCATCACATACACTCTCCCACAGATATCTACTTCAGAGGCTTACTTGCAGTTTCATTTTAATGGTGAACATTAAGGTCAGGATAATGGCTATATAGTGTTTTGTATACATTTTCCTTCTTTCTATATCAGTCTGAGCTAAAAAAAAAAGCTAAATATCAAATACTAACGGGGTTATTCATAAAAGGGTGAAGAGTTTGGAAAATGCAGGAGAAGTGAACAATCTAGGCCAAAATAGCTGATTTAGAAAAATTCTCCAATTCAGCTCATCTTCTAGTTCAGCTGTATTGTCCTAGATTGTTAACTTCTCCTGCCTTCTCCTTACTCTTCACCCTTTTGTGAATAACCCTTTAAAGGAGAACTATGAGATGAGTGATTTCCACTCACCTCATAGTTCTAGCCGACCTGTGACAATGAGACTGTCACAGTTCGGCTCAGTAGATCGGGAGTTGAGCGAACACATACTAGGTTCACTCACCTCTCGATCCTGTCACGGCTCTCTGCCGTGACAGGGGGAGGGCTGGATTCCCCTCTCCCCGCTCCGATCTGCCAGCGCTGACTGGCGAAACGGACGGGGGAGGGGGCGGGTACAGCTGGCTCTGCCTCTAGATAGGCAGAGCCAGCTGTCACTCACGCAGCTGGGCAGATCCCGTCATCTACGTCGGGATCCGCTCCGGCTGCGGCGTCTCAGTATACCGCGAGCTATAGCTCGCGGTATACTGAGCTTAGGGTAACGGGAGGACGCTAGTTTGTGTCCTCCCGTTACCCTAAGGAGAACTATGGGGAAAAACACTGACCCCATAGTTCTCCTTTAAATATCAATATTTAGCATTTTATTAATTAGCCAGTGGGTGAAGCTGTCAGCTCCTTTTCTTCTGCTTTCAAATGTATCCTCACCTCACCTGTGTAAAATTTTGAGCTCAACGGAAACTTTCAAACAAATAAATGAGCAAGACCCCTATTCCCCCAACATCCTTCCAAACTGATCCGTCCATGGTGCAATTCAGAGATAGTCATATCTGAACATAAACAACCCCAGCTGCATTTCTGTATAGTGCATGCATGGTACACAGTCCAAAACCATGGCCATTACTATGGAATTGTTCCTCCAATTGTGTCTATAATTGTGGCTATAATGGCCTCCTTTTTTCTGGGATGGCTTTCCACAAGATTTTGGATATGTATGTGGGAATTTGTGTCTGCTTGACCAAAACAGCATTTGTGAAGTGAAGTACAGATATTGCACACAACTGGCGTTCAAATTTATCCCAAATATGATCAGTGGTGTTGAAGTCAGGGCTTTGTGCTGGCCACTCAAGTTCTTCCACACCACACTTGGCAAACTATGTTTTTATAGACCTACCCAGATAGCAAGCAATTGAACTGCAAGCTTGAAAATGACTTGCTAAACTATTGCAGACTTGCCAAGCTTCACAATTCTGTTGCACAATTACAGCAAGTCTGCATTGCAAGTCTCCAGATCAACGTGCTTTGCAAACGTGCTGTACACTTGCAGAGCTCTTGCTAAGACCTGCAGAGCTCTTGCTATAGACTTGCCAAGCAAATTTGCTACAAATTTAAAAAGTGTCAACTAGAACTTGTACTGCAAGTGTTCTGCAAGTCTACAACTTGCCAGGAATGTGTGCCGCAAGTTAACAAGAATTATGATTTAACCCTGCCACAAGTTTGTGGCAAGTTATCCTTGTTATCTGGGTAGTTCTGTGCATTTGAAAATAATTTGGAGTGGTGTTCACATACTTTGTAAAAAATAAAACTGACTTAAAACTATAAGTGTTAAGTCTCAGTGTTAGATTAAGAACTAAGCGTTAGAGGATAGTTGGGTTACCGTTTCATGTTCAGGTGAGTGAATAGATATGTGTTAGGCTCAAGCTTGGATTTTATGTTAGGGTTAGAAGTCAGGGCATGTGGGTGAGTAGTCTTTTCTTCTTACTAGTTTTTGTCACTGAAAGTGCTGAGTAAAGAACTGCCAGTAGAACGTTCTTGACATTGAAAACCAGTGTACCATTTAAAGCAAACTGTTCGTTGGTAAGGATATAAAAGTGTGTATGCTGTTACTTTGTTTTAAAGCTTAATCTTTCTTTCTATAAGCAAATACAGAAATATAATGAATAGTGCACCTTCAGTACACAGTACGGAAACATTACAGCATAGAATTGGCATAGTGAAAGTGTACCAAATGTAATAACCCTGTAGTCAGAATCTTACACTGGCACTTTACAAATCTGATGAAGTACACAATCTGCAAGGTCAGGTTCATGTCAAGCAGGGGCATGTATACTGATCACCTCATTTAACAACCATTTACTCTGAATATGCAAGTCAGCAGCAAAGCATTTCATAAGTAATATGAATGACAAGAAGACACAAGAGGGGGTTTGCTAAGACAATTTCAAGCTTTGGAGAGCATGCAAATCCAGGTATAACAGGAAATGTATAATGTTTTTGTGTATGTTTTATTTTATTTAATATGGTCAGTACTAAAACAATTAATTTTTCTTTAGTCTAATAAAGCCTGTTTACAGGACTCAAGAGCACAAGCTCAGATGTAAATACACAACTAAATGTTTTAGAGGTGTGACATATTTTCCTCCCTTTGCTTGTCACTGCTTTGTACAGGCAGGCCATATAGAGTTTCAGTAAGAACAGAGAGTCTGAAAGCAACCAGCCTCTGCTGTTCTGTCTTCTTTCCTTACAAAGCCCGTAATGCTCTGTGACACCAATGCTAATGGTACGCTCTGTTTTTAATTATTATTTTTAAATACATATTTTATAAAAATAGTGAAAAGAGGTGATTAGCCTGCACTCCCCATAACACTCTGAGACACCAATAACCCCTTTTATTGCCTGGGGGCCCCGTACTTTTCGTATAGGTCTCCCCTTCCGGTGTTTACAATTGATATTTCTAAAACGCTCGTTGCGACTATAAGATCTAAATAGGCCTCACCATCAGTATGATGCGAAAAGTGTAGGATACAAAGTCCATTATACGGTACATAACTATTTTCTGAACCATTTGGCACAATTCAATACATTGTAATGCTTGGACAATTGCTGTCACCTATCACTGCCTTATTATCTTACGCCACTATGTGAACTTGTCAAATGCTAAGAATTTATTGTAATGTAATGACACCAGTTGTTGAGAACTAAGATGTACAATATTCTCTTGTCTGTTTATACTTTAATAAAAACTATATGGAAAAAAAAAATAGTGAAAAGAAATATATAATGTTGGTTTAATAACTAATGCTTTGAAATACACACAATTTGTTGAAAAACATTTTAATTAACATATAATATAAAGTTATTTCATTCTGATCAACTGTAGAAGTACAGTAAATGGATATTACTTTATTGCTACCTCTATCCATTCCTGTAGTTCATCTCATGCACATTTTGACACACGCATTAGACTAAATGAAACTTCCACTAATATTTTCATGGTATTTTTGTATATTTGTATATTTGAAGAGTTTCATTAAGAAAATAGCCTTGTGTTTGCAGGAGAATTCCACAATCGTCAAAAATGTCAAGACTACATCTGGTCCCAATGTTGCCCCTCCCGTTGCTTTCCCAGAGAGAGAAACATATTCTACATAATTAAGCACACATTTTGGAGTGAACTGACAGTGCTTTAAAGCTGCTATTTTGTTTATATTGGCACAAGATATTTGATAATTAGGTTTTACATAATGTCATGTACCTTCACAGTTTTAAGGAGGAAAACTTAGAGGGTTATTCACGTAGGAGCCAAAGGATCCAGCTATAGCTTCGGCTGATCTTTCAGCTCGCTTCGGCCACCTGAGCCCTTCGGTTCAGTCAAACCAGAGGTCTGCAGTACGGGCTATTCACAATAGCTAAGCGAAGCGTGGAGAAAGGTCAGCCAAAGCGGACCGATCTCCACGCAAATGACAGCTGAGTGGAGCCAGCTGTGATCACACGGCTCGCGCCACTCAGTTGTAATGACAGAACAGCATTCCCAAATGACCAGGGGATACTGATCTGTCATTAAACATCACCGCTAGCTCCGCCCAAGTGTTTATATTTTGCCAGCATCTGTCAGATTCGACATTATGCGGCGGGAGTTTGTTTCTTTTCTTTAGAATATTTTTATTATTTTTTTATTTATTTTAAAAATTAAATACGTTTTCAACATTTTTCCCCCCCATTCATTTACCCTTTCTTTCTTCCGTAGGTAGCGAGCAGCATAGCCAAGCCGAGCCTTCGGCAGCTAAGTGAATAACCCACTTAATGTTATATTGGTGTATGAATAATTGCTGAGGGATGCATTAGTGCACCGAACGATTGGTGTTCATCCCCAAATTCAGTACAATGGTAATTGATCCAGAACTCCATTCCAAGTTCCAATACTCTATTATCCACAGACAGTACCATACAAAGGGCATGATCTGCTTACAGTATGTGTTTTAGCTGGAAGATTCCTAAGTCATAGTTTTGAGTATTGAAACTTGGAATTGAGTGCTAGATTAATTGCCTTTGGACTGTGATTCTAAGTAACAAAAGGTTGCAGGAGGATTCTTCAGAATTTGTCTGCAGATTTTCATCCTCAGGTTGCAGCTTTTGGGTATGCAAGTATCAGACCAGCTTTTGAATACAGGGCAGGTGCCTACAGTGCTACCTGTAACCTAATCCTGGCATTGCATCCTGACTGTGAATAAGAGATTTCTATCAGACTTATTCGATAAGGAAGTCACAACAAGAATTTTTTTTTTTTTTTGGGGTGGAGTGGAGCAAAGGAAATGAGCTCTCATTCTGTGTAGAAAAGATTACATTTTGATGTAAATCATATAACCCAAAGACTTTATTCTTTTACAATTTACTACATTGTTATGCCATCTATTTTCTTAATTTGTGAAATTCGTGTCACTCTGCTTGCATTGACAACTAGAAAGTCGCAACTTAAATCAGTGCTTCTATATATTAATTCTTGATTAATTGCTTTACATATTGACAGCTGAATCAGTTACCTTCGTCTTTCCTAAAACCCACTGGTCTAGATTTGCCTTTTCCAGTATGGCTGCACAACATTCTGGATTGGCTGGCGGATCTTCATGAGACTTAAAACAGATCAGGTGATATCTGCAAAGAATGAAAAATTTTTGTTATGTTTAGTGTCATGTGACAGTTTTTCTAAAACAATACAGACTATTGATTTCAGGACAGTAGTGGAGAACCAGGGCCCTGTCATAGCTGCAACTCTGTGACCCTGATAGTTATCGTGAAAATGCCAAGTATTGGCATTGCTATCTAAACATTCAGCCCTACAAAACAACTCTCCACTGTGTTGGAAAAAAATGCATATTTTTTTTAAGGATGTCATATCATGCAAATTTATTTCATCATCTCTCTCTATGTGGCTAATAGATTTGTCCTTACCTTTTTATAAAGTTAGCAAAAAGAATGCGGTGGGAATAGCCCTGCCTGCGGATTCTAGCAGTTTCCAAAATCCCTGTGTACCGAAGCTGCACTAGCACTTTCTCCCGATCAAACTTGTTTGGCAGACGGTCGTTATTTGGTTTGATGCACCGCACAAAGTGAGGCTGGCCAGCCACCATTTTTGATAGTAAATCCATCAAGGAATACTAAAACAGGGAACTGTTGTTAGTAATTTCTATATGTAGAAGTTATCTCTCTTAAAAAAACATATATTCATTAATCAGTTTGACATTTAACATTTAGTACTAGGTTTGCTTTAGGGTTTCGAAAATCAGTTCCAGTAATGTGTTGTGTAGGGTTTTATTTAGTTGAACCATACTTTGGTGGGAATAAAGCTGCAAGGTCTTAAGGTGCCCATACACTGCTCGATTCTCGTACAAGAATCGTGGGAAATCCCGCGATCGTACGCGAATCGAGCAGTGTGAACGGAGACGTGTGACCGTTTCTACTGTGCGGTCGCACGTCTTTTGTCTAAGGAGCACGATCGTACGATTTTCGGCTGGTTTGAACGGTGCTCGGGAGACAAATGCCGAACGGGCCGGTGTGCGCATGCGCACACTGCCCGTTCAGCATTGCGGTCATCGGAAGCCTGCCCCTCAGGACTCCAGGAGCAACCAGACAGGACCCACAAGCAGGACCCCATTAAGCGTAAGACACTCATGGACTAGCCCATAATCTAACACTAAGGCGTTGATTTTTTAAAGGTACACATGTTGTTTCATTTGCAAGGGAATTCACCTTTAGCTTAGTGAATGTGGGTAAAATTCACTTTGCAAAGAATACTCAAACACGTGCAAGGAAAACAAAAATAATAAATTGTTTTTAGGGCTGTGCAAATTAACGATAAATTTCTCGATTAATTGTTAATCTTTTTGATCGATTCAAAATTTTTTGATCGCTAATGAAAATACTCACCTCTCCGCCGGCTTCCGGGAGTCCCGTCGGAGATCCAGTGACGTCACGGACATCAAAGTCACCGGCCCAAGTGGCTCCGTCACATCGACGTCACCTGCCCAAGTGGCTCCGTCGGCTAACGAAGGGGGGAGGAGTCCGGTGACGTCGATGTCCCCAAGTGGCTCCGTCGGCTAACGAAGGGAATGCTGTATGTGTATAGGCCAATGTAGTTAGATCTGTATGTGCGTTATAATTGATCGAAATTAATTGATTTTTTTTAAATTCGATTAATCGAACACGGAAATTTTAATCAGTAACAGCCCTAATTGTTTTTGCTTGCATGTGATTGGATGATAGAAGTCAGCAGAGCTTCACTTCATTTTGGGTTAGTGATTCTCTTTTAATAATTGCTTTTTTCATTTCTGGACAGCTGGTTGTGAATCCAGCAGAAGATCTAATTAGGTGAGGGTGAGAGCCATTTTTATAAGTCACAAGAGTCTCTGTAGCTCACGTATCAATGTACCCAGGGCAGTCCCTATAATGAGACAGTTGTAAAGCTCTTAGCAACCTGTGAGGCTTCGAGCGGCTTCCTGCCCATCTCACTGATGTCATTAGTTGCCCAGGGCTGAGGATTGTATCCTGCTGAGCTCCTGGCAACCAGCGACGTCAGTGAACTGGGCAATCCGGAGTCCACTGCCACCCCCCCTTCCCGAACGACAAGTGACCCAGTGACCATTTCTTTTCAGCACCCTCCTCTCCCCCCCCCCTCACAGAACGACATTGCTTCAGGTGGCGAATACCTTATACACAGCCCTGAATGTACCCTTTCTATACTGGCACTTGCCCCATAATCAAATACTACATTTAGTGGTTCATTGTTGATGACAAAGGGAGAGAGCTTGTATGAAAGGGTATTATTACTCAAACATGGCAAGATGAGCACTGCCTGTAGGAACAAACAAACCTGCATAAAATATCAGAATACCATACCCTAAAATATGAAGCCACGGTCTGTGTTTTCATGTTGGTGGTCTCTCTAGGATGATGAGAATCTCCCTGATCTCCCTATTGAACAAGATATATATATATATATATAAGCACATTACAATCAGCAATTACTTCTATAAGAAACATAACCATAGCAGTCTATACTAACTTAAAATACTGTGGATGTAAGATCACAGCGTCCCAATCTGTGGCCAGCACAGTGGCGTAGTGGTTACTGCTTCTGCCTTGTAGCACTGGGGGTCCCTGGTTTGAATCCCGGCCAGGACGCTATCTACAAGGAGTTTGCATGTTCTCCCTGTTCTGCGTGGGTTTTCTCCCACACTCCCAAGACTTGCTTGAAGGTTTATTTGCTCCTGCCCAAATTGGCCCTTATATGTGAGAAAGGGACCTTAAGTTGGAAGCTCCTTGAGGGCAGGCACTGATGGGAATTGTCGCTGTGTAAAATTGTTGGCGCTATATAAATACCAGTAAGAAAATGAATCTGTCCATTTTCAGATGTTCATCTCCTTTCTACAGGATGAGAAGAACAGACAATTGGACAGGTGAAAAAACCCTGCCCCTATCACTACTGAGATAGGCTGATCCCTCTCTTTGCTTCCTGATCTGCCCCCTTCCCCTCTCCATACAATTTTCCTGAAGGTTTGGCTGAACTTGCAGTTCTTTACCACCTTCTGCAGTCAATTTAGCCTGTGGATGCTCATATTGGGCCTTTATTACCAACTGCCCTCTGAAGTCTATGGCCGGCTTTACATTGTAATGAACTGTTATTTCATTAAAATGTCTTTTATTTGTATTTTTTTTCCAACCCCATGATAGCAACACATATATTTAATCCCATGTCATTCATTATTTAGATGTGGCACACATATATACGCTGTAAAAAAAACGTTGTCATCTACATAGCAAAGCTAAGCTGACAGACACACATGAATGTATGTTATTACCTCACTGAAGTAAAAAGTATTGTACAACATTAAGATATCCAGCTTGATAAAACAAAAAACACACATGTGAAGATGTGGTTACACAACAAACATCAATGTACTATACTTCTAGCCAAGAACATATTATGGTGGTAGTATTCCTCTACCTCACTGCGACTGGACGTTTTCCCATTGGACCATGACTGTGAATTCATTCTTGACTTTGTTTTAGTGTGGGCAAGATTACCTGTGTAAACAAAATGAAACACAGGTTATATCTTCATGTTAGCCATATGCAAGACTCCCATCTTCAGATGCATGCAGGGTGATTTCCTTCCTTCACCCTCTGTTTCACAATTTGACAGGAAGCAGCAATGAGAGCAGCAAGAGGAAGAGATCACTGGAGGAACCTTTGTTGCTGGATACTTATAATTTGACTAAAGAGAATATGTAAATATTTCCCTGAAAATCAGTCTGCAATGTAGAATTCTACAAAATTCAGGACTCCAACCAATAATGATTGTTGAATTTTACGATTTCCAACAGATTGGTTCAAACTGAACTGTATATTTTCAGGACAATGGAAATCATACATTTTCTTGAGACTTGATTCCTGAATCAGTTCTGTTATTACTAATGAATCTTGGCAAAAGGTGCACAATTATTTACATAAAAACTTCCCTATCATTCTCCCTCTAAAACAAAAAATGCTTTAAAACTACAGAAGATGTAACAAGTCAGGGCATTCCTGCAATGACTGACGTCATTCCCCTTTTGTCTTTTAAAAGCTAAAGACTTCTCCTATACAATACAGTGATCTCCTGAAATATTCTGTGCTGCTCTGATCAGGCCCATTATCACAAATACTATTTGGCCCACAGACTTTAAATTGGTGATCACTGATCACAACATCAAGGAAGAAATAAAGGTTGATTTACTAAAAGCAAATAAACTCTTCACTTTGCAGGGGAATTTTCCCTTAGCATAGTAAATGAGGTGAAGCTATGCTGATTTCCATCATCCAATCATGTGCAAGCAAAAACACTGTTATTTATTTTCCTTGCTCAAGATTGGGTATTCCCTGCAAAGTGAATTTCTACCACGTTCACTAAACTAAGGCAAAATTATCTTGCAAAGTGAACAGTATATTTACCTTTAGTGCAGTATTTCTCAACCTTTTTTCAACCACAGCACCCTTTAAAAGTAAACAAAATCTTGAGGCGCCCCAGTCTAAAATATAAAATCCGTAAATGTAGAAAATAATGTGCGGTACCTCCAAAATCCATACCTGGCCCTTATCACAGATAGGGGTCTGGTATGAAATTTAAGGGTGTATCCCATGCAATCAGAGTGCCACCTTTCACATAAGAGTCCCCTTTACAACAGAAGCCCCTTCCTTTCACATCCCTCTCTCACACTAGGAAACCCTTTTCAAATCAGAAGCTCCCATTCAAATTAGAGTCCCCCTCTTTCACATCAGAGGCATGATGTTGTGTGAAAATTTCGAGGCACCCCTGAGGAAGCCGGAAAGGCACCCTGTTTGAGAAAGTTTTTTTAATGAATCAAACCCAGTGAGAGGTATAAAAGTATCTTCTAGCACAGTGAAAGATTACGCAGGACAGGAGTCATACCTGTTTTTGTTAGGGGATTGGTTACTAATATACGAATGAGGTTGTTTTCAGATGACCTCAAAAGAAGCACAATATCCGCAGGTAAAGTGTCTCGGTTTTTTTCCAGGAACCCGCTGGCATTGTAGAGAACCTGCAGATAAAAAACATTTCTTTAAAGCAAGAACAGAACTACTGATGAAAGAGACTGAAGATTCCTTAAGCAATTTGCTGCAGTAATGAAGACTTATTCAGTGCAAAAAAGGTTTTATTATCACTTTTCGGTCGCTCTGATTTATATCTGAACATTTAGTCAAAGTAAAAATGTTTGACATCAAATATAATGGAGAATGATAGTTATATCTCCCACTGTGGCCACTTTGCTCTCTTGCTACTTTTTATTGTTATCAGAGTCTGTAGTTCCGTCACGGAATTCTTGAGATGTCAGCATTACGAGTCATTATTATTTAAATAAGATTTAAGGTTTTGCTTAAGTCTGTCTAACGTCTGTGGCTGTACATAATTTTTTACATCTTGAAATTAACTGATTTAATGACTTTAGAATATCAGCCGTGGAAAAACACACTACAAAGCTCATAATGGTAGTTTATTAAGATTGTTTCAAGGGTAAAGTTTTTTAGATCTAGAATTTAAGTGGCAAAATATACTATTAAAATACAGGTAACAACTTTTTTACCTTCAAAAAGATTTGTAATTCTATTTAAGCATGTTTGTCATTCACGGGGCTCATCTTTCATACATGCATGGAAAAAAACTATTATTGTTATGGATAGACCATCTACTTTGACTGGAACAATCTCTGTTCATTCTTAGGGATAGACCTCCACTACTGGGACACAAAATAGATGTTCTCTCTAAAGGAATCTTTAGATTAAGATCCTTCTGCACAAACACAAAAGAAGAAGAGTACAGCTGAAAAACGTCTGCAGTGACAGCTATACAGTACCCTGCAGACTGCACTGCGGAGATCTTGGAGGAGTGGAAGCAAGAAAAGAAAGAGAGGAGAGCCAGCCATGTGACCTATTACAGTCATGTGACTGGAAACTCCTCCAGTCACATGTTTAGCATGGAGAACTGAAGGTGACATACTGCAGGCAGAGCTATACCACTGCCTGCATTTTATATGAATGTGCTGTAAAATGCAGGCCATGGTGTGGAGAATCCCTTCTGAGTAATCTAGGCACCCTTCACACTTCCAGTCAAGCTCACATTTATATGTGCTTAGAGCACATTTCTTAATACATATAAGTGGAGGTAATGACTTTTCAATGATATCATTAACATTGGACGTTTACCTGTGCTAAGGGCCATTCAATTTAGCTGAGTATAGAGAAAAAAAATACAGTGCATTCAGAATGCAATTGGAAACTCTACACACACTTATACTGATGTAAACGCAGCTAAACGTGGCGAGATGGGAATAAACACAACTAAACCTGTCATAAAGCAGGAACTTGTAAACACATAAAAAGTGGTCTGGGAAGTGTAAACTTTGTTTATACTTCCCTGATAATTGTTCCTGTGCTTAGATCTTAACACAGGAGCGCTAGTGTGAATGGAGACTTACAGAGTTATTCACAAAAGGGTGAAGAGTTTGGAGAAAGCAGGAGAAGTCAACACTTTAGGCCAAAATAGCTGATTTGGAAAAAATTTCCAATTCAGCTCACCTTCCAGTTCAGCTATGTTGTCCTAAATTGTTCACTTCTCCTGCCTCCTCCAAACTCTTCACTCTTTTGTGAATAGCCCTGTAATAGAGGCCTATTTACTGCAGAGAGAAGATACAGCTAATCAATCTTCACTATAAATAGGCCCCTAAATCTTTACCATTTATAAAGTGTAAAGAACAATGATGATGTGCAACATACGGTAACCCATGGTAACAATAACTAGATTTGACTTTCTGTAACCTTATCAGTTGAAAGATGATTTCTGATTTGTATCAGTATGCGTTTCCCTTGTTTGCACCTTGCCCCGTTTTTTTTTTTAAGCATGTCGTTTTTATTGGATTTACAAGGCATGAACAGCAAAAATTACAATGGTATAGGGGGATGCAATCCCGCCTTGTTGGAAGCACACGTTAATCACCCGGTTTGGTACTTAAAGTCAGATCGTTCAGACATATATGAAATAGCCTATCCGGTGAACATGCCTAATCCTTGTCTAAATCCATGGTTACAAATGTAAATGTAAACATACAATTCACATCCTATTAACAGAACATATCAAGAAAAACAAGTCAACACTGCATAAAGTAAGAATAAACGTGTCCATGAACATTGCTAGAACCATCAGTAGCAGGTACGTCAGCAATCGGAGTCTACCTTATTATTGAGGGACAGGTCAAACGTCAAGGGGTACCTTTTAAGTATGCTAAGCAGATATTCGAAAATTAAGGCAGGCGGGCAGGAAGACATCATGGAAGCATATTGCCTTTCTGGCTTCTTGGGGGTCCCACCAGGGACGGCTAGAGTACATCTAATCCCCCCAGGGAATTTGAGAGTTTGGCCGTGAGATACCATGTGGAGGTCTGGAAGTCAGACATGATAACACGAAGTTGGTCGGGGGCGAGGTTCGTCGTGAGGAAGGGGGACCATGTGGAGAAGAAACGGTTATGCGCTTCTCTTCCTTGTGAGTGTCAGCTTTGTCCAGGAGCATAAGCTTATGAAATGTGGCTTGTAAGTCTCTTGTCGTGGGGGTTTTTGGAAGAAGCCAATTGGTGAGAATGGTTTTTTTAGATGCAAACATGCAAAGATGTTCCAGCACGTGATGTGGGGGGTTGTAGAGTCAGGTCCCTGGGGTGTATCGTGTAGTAGGCATAGCAGAGGTTGAGGGTCACGAAATATGCCCGACCGGGAGTTCATATATTGCACTACTTGGGTCCATAATGTATGTATCAGTGGGCATGACCAAATCAGGTGTATGAAGTCGGGGTGATGGATGTTACATTTTGGGCAGTGTTGTATCCAGTCTGGGTTTGTGGTGGCCGGGGCAAAGTTAAAAGCATAGTATGCCCTATGAAGCAGTTTAAATTGGGTCTCTCTCCATGATTCACTAATAATATGGTTCCTGACGTGTTGCCACCCCCTTATTATGCTGTCGAAGGTGTCTTCCAATGAGGTACCTATCAATTGAGCCCATAGGTGTACAAAGGGCTTGCCCCGTTTTACTTCTTTATATCAAATTAGTCAGTCATTTTATTTTCAATTTTTATTTGCAAATTCATTAAAAAATAGTTAATAAAAAAGATGAGTATGTTGTCATCTTGATACAAAATAAAGCAATCAATATTCAGCATTTTTTAAAATAAAGTCCAAACACTTTCAAATGATTATATCAGTTACCCATTCACCGTCCCCAGTAAAACATTATATAAAAGGATTCTCTTTGTAGGATAATCTGGGACAAAACAATTGTAATATTATATTTTTTTTTGTCTCAGCAGCCATACAGTTTTCCATCATGCAGTTTCCATTAAATATTTGAAGTGTATCAAAAATTCACATAAAAAATGTATAACACATATTTAAGACAAACTAAACAAACACTGCAACTGATTGGCCTAGCCTCGGCCGTAGGAGAAGTCCTGTGAGAACGTGACTTAGTCTTGTGCTTCCTATACCTAGCCTATACCTAGCCTATATATAGCGAGTGCGGCATAGAGAGTGCGCACCACGCTGGAACGCACCCACAGCCGACGATCGGCAGAGAACCTCGGCACCATGAGTCCTACTTACCAGCCCCTCTACCTGTAGCCATTTAGGCCACCTCCGGTCTCTTAGCCTGGCACAAGGCATGTCCCATCCTGTGGATTTACCATATACAGGGACATCTACCACCCGGGAGATAAATTATTATTATTATTTTTTTCTAAGTAATTGGGAGTAAGTAATTGAAATGGAAAACAGGGAGGGTGCGTCATGATGCTGCAGTACCTAAAAATAAACTAATTTGAATAATTAGGCTCTACAGAGTAGCTCATAAACAGTTGTTTCCTTTCTGGGCTTTGGAATACGATGTCATAAAGCAAAGATGGAACACAGTGTGAACAAAATGTTACATGGCTAAAGGGACTAAACCTAAAGCACAAGTTACCATAAATGTCATTAGAATATATTAATGACAAGATGTGCTACCCTTCTAAAGACACTAAACATGCATCAAAGTGAATATGCCAAGAGAGAAATAATGGCTAACTTGCTTTGTAGTTGGTTAAATTGCAGATTGCTAATACTAAGATGTGATACTCGTTTTCTTTTTCAGGCTTTTTTTTACTTTATTATCATTTGCTGATTCTGCCAGTATCACCTTTCCTGTCCTGGGGTGACAACACACACTCACTCATTGTTCTGTATTTATGGAGCAGCATGTTGCCATCTTAGGACATGAAGTGAGTTGGAACTAAAGAACGCCAACCCCTGCGCTTTTTCTCCATAGTATAGTAGGGGGTTGAATCAGCCAGGGATAATACACTGTTGTTTTACGTGCAGCACAGGGAAGGTGCACAGGGACTTGCAAGCTTACCATATTTCTGGCAGAATCAACAGGAATGCTTTCAATTGTGTATTTAACAGACCAATAGGGGGCAAATAAGAGAAGTTCACTGTTAGGGTTCACATACATTTGATGTTTTTGTATATTTACAGATTCCTTTTAAGATTTATAAATATACTGGAACTATATAAATAAAGAGTAATAGTAATAATAACATCCTTACCTTCCCCGCATAGTGATGAATTCCAAATGTTAGGTCAATTCTCTTTGGTCTCCAGAAATACTTTGATTTGAGGTTATCTTCAAACTTTTCTAAAACCATTTAAGTAAAGTCATACTTAGATTTTCTCTGTCATAGAACTTTAAAAAAAATCCTCATCTTTTAAAAATATCTACAGCAGGTAGGATTGCATCATTTAAATGTTCATACTCCCCAAAGTCCCATACCTGTTCTGCACCATCCTTATCCTGCTACCCCACAAATACTTCCCAAATACAATAAAAACATGTTCACCAATTTATCTGGCACAAGAAAAACACAGATGCAGGTTTAATATACTGTAATGTTGGAACATTAAAAGTGGGCCTTCCTGATTTTAAACATTATCCTTACTTGACCAAATCCAGTACTGGTGGAGACCATCACCAGAAAAACTATCAGCAGCAATCAAACACCTCCTCCATGACCTCCCCCTGACCCCACCACCAAATAACCTACTATTTAGGCTGCTATAGATGCTTGGAGCACATTTTACTATACCACTACCAACAACTGCCACATAAAAAAATAAAAAAACCTATTAGGAGAAAAATTGTGGGATTACTAAGATCTATGGGCTACAATAGCAAAACTGCCCTATCCCATTTAATTTGCTATCCCAAATATTCCACAAGCCAGTCAGGGAATACAAAATACACTTCCAAATCCATTTTCTTTGGCAAAAGTGCTCTATTCTCAGTGACTTCTATATAGTCCCGGTATTCCTATAACTCCTAGAAAATCACATATATGTAAAGAAATTCATTTGATAAAAAGAGATACAAGAAAACAACTTTCATTAAAGCACTTATTAGACAAAATGGGAAACCACAATGAAAAAAAAATGATTACACAAAGCCTCCCAATATATAAATCACTGGGGACTACTCCACAGGGTGATCCACCTCTGGTATATAACAGCATCTCATTTCTCCTGACCGCCGGAACAAATGAAGCTCATTAAGATGACCGAATGATGATATCATGACGTATTTGTAGAACAGTTGTATTTAGAAACACATTTAAGGATTGTCAAACGCAGGCCTCAAAATTTCCACTCGCAATTGGCGAGTGAAAATTGCGTGGGGGTGAGTGGAATATCTTCAGCTCCTTCGGTCTCCTGCAGAGATACTATTGGCCAGCCAGAAATGTATGCAGTGCAGGACCTGAAAAGAGAGTGTAATCTCTGTACACAGAGGATACATCTCTGTACCCCTCCCCCCCACCACCAGGAGAGGAATACAATCAGCTATCTGCACTGTAAGTCCCTGTTTTTTCTGCGTTACACTGCTGACTTCTGCAGTCTGCATTACATTACTGACTTGTGTACTGCTGACTTCTGTACTGTGCGTCACATCGCTGGCCTCTGTACTGTGAGTCACACTGCTGGCCTCTGTACTGTGTGTTGTTACTGATCTCTGTACTCTGCGTCAGACCGCTGACCTGGCAGAGTTACGGCCGCGGCAGGGCAGGGGTTAGGTGGGGCAACTGGTGGCGAGTAACTTTTAAGGCCTGGCTAGTAACACAGGACTTGAAATTTTGAGCCCTGGTGTAAAGTATACATAATTGCATGAATCTGTGTTTTTATGTTGTATTTAGCTTTAGTCTATAACAATACAAAGTAGCTATCTTTCCATTGCCATTTTTTTCTGAAACACAATTACATATTTAGTAAGGTGTTTGTATTCCAGAATACACGAGATCATATATTGTAGATAAACATCTTTCTCCTCTCATATGAGAAGAGCTACAACTGCCAGTACCTACCTACAAGGGTCTGATCAGTTGATCCGGGGAATTTAATCTCCTCATCCAGCAGAGAGAGTAGGCCCATTGGCTTCTGCAAGAACATGTCCAGGAGGGGCCTGTTGTCTTCATACTCAATAACTCTTGCATCAACATCTTCATTTAAATATTCATTCTTGAGAAGAGATAGAAATAAATAATGTTTACATTCACAAGCACAAAATTTCCCCCATCCGTCAGTTTTTTCTTGATGATGTCTAAATTCCGTTGAGGTGATTTTCTCCTTGCTTTCTTTCCTACAGACACAACAGGAAGTGAAAGAAAATCCCTCCAAAGTGAGTGAAAAATCCCCTCTTAGACAATGTCCCCATTTAATGACTTCCCCTTATTTCCAGTGCCAATGACAAATGTAAAAGTTTGCACTGTCCATCACTTTCTGTTCTGGTGAGAAACGGTTTTCATGGCAAAAAGGAAGAGTCAGTCTCCCAAACTGGGCATCAGGCAGCAATGGAAAGCTTTCAGGGGTTTTAACCCTCCCCTAAACTAAACATACCTTAAGAAAAAAAGTTTGGCTAGAGACAAACTTTAAGGAGTCTATTCAGAAAGCTACCGAAGGATCTAGCCTTAGCTGCGGCTGATCCTTCGGGTAGCTTCGGCCCCAGGACCCCTTCGGTTCAGGGCTGATGTACTATATTCACTGTATTCACTGTATGTACTGTATTCTCTATAGCCCGTACAGCCCCTGAAGGTGCCCGAGGAGCTCAGTCGAGCCGAAGGCATATGCTTCGGCTTGACTGAGCCCAGGGGAAATTCGAAGCTGGCCGACAGCATGCTTCTGACAGCTGGGCAGAGCCAGCCGTCATCTCACGGCTGGCTCCGGCCATTTGCAGAGAGATCAGCGTCCCGGGTTACCAGGTAACCAGAGACGCCGTTCTATCATTACACTGAGAACGCGTCGGAGCTGCTGTAAAATAACAGCAGCTCCGCCAGGTAACCAGGGATGCCTTCTGTCATTACACTGCGGCTCCGCAGTACACTGAGAACCCGGCAGAGCTGCTGTAAAATGACAGCAGCTCTGACGGGTTCTCAGTGTGTAATGACACATGGGCGTCCCTGGTTACCTGCTATGCCCATGTGTCATTACGACGAGAGCTTAGGAGAGCCGGCAGTGATATGAAAGCCGACTGCTGAGCTCTCATCTTAATGACAGAACAGCATCTGCTGGTTACTAGGTTACTAGGTAACCAGCAGATGCTGTTCTGTCATTAGGATGAGAGTATAGCAGAGCTCTGACAAGCTCTAATTCTAATGAAAACTGGTCCCGGCCAATAGAAAACAGTTGGGTGGAGCTAGCTGTCACTGCTTGCTCCGTCCAATCATTTTCAGCTATTCACTCACTGCTGTTCGGCATCTATGAGAATAGGCCGAAAAGCAGCGAGTAGCCTGCCGGAGGTCCGGCTCAGCCGATCCAGATGTTGGATCGGCTGAGTCGAGCTCCTTCTGCACTTCGGGTCCGCCAAACATGCTGAGCATGTTCGGCCGACCCGAAGCCACCCGATATACGGCTGATTTCAGCCTATATACGGCTGAAATCAGCCGTACATGCCTGAAATGAATAGCCGAACAGTGTTCGGCTCACTTCACTTATGGTCGATTGTTCACTCGGCTGCCTATGGCAGCTTTGTGAATAGACCCCTAAGTCTTCATTGCCATAGTTATATTGCATTTTTTTTAATGCCTTTCTTTTTCAAAAAGTAACAGACTTACAAGCATTAATCATGCAGAGAAGAGCAGTGAACATTGCCATAGTTATAATCAATGAGCATATATCTATCTAGCTTTGTTTGCTTTGACAGAATCCAGCAGGTGCAAGTGTTTAAAGAAGAAACTCTTTTAATTTTAGTGTGTCAGAGAGGTTCTTTGTATTCTTGTGCCAACATTGCCAACAGCACCCAACAGGGTACTTTGCCTGTGTATACACAAAACCTTGTTTTCCCCATTGAGGCAAACAGAGGTTCTCCTACATCCAAAGGCAGCTGATAATGTGTATTGAAGTAGACGGACCTTATGACAACATGGGGTTGACCAAATGGTTATAACACTCACATTTGAAGAATTTTGGTGGATGTTTTTCATTATCTTAAAGCAGGAAGGCCAGAATTATTATTTTTTAAACTTAATAATAGTTTATTGATGCTGAAAAGTACAGCCAGAGCTATACTTCTGGCGCTGTGACTATGAGAACCGTACTGTTCACCCCTCCTCTACCATTGTTCATTTACATAATGGGTTCCTAGAATACTAAGCATTCTGTAAATGGGCAAGGGGAGAGGAGGGTGAGACAAACAACAGTATGGCACTGAATTTTTTACAGTACACAGTCGTGATCCATAGCTAGAATAAGTGCTCACACAGGGCTTGGAGAACAAATTGCCTGGGAGCTAAGAGAGGTTACTTCGACCTCATCTGGAGTACGCGGTCCAGTTCTGGTCACCAGTACTAAGAAAAGATGTCCTTGAGTTGGAAAAAGTCCAGCGGAGGGCAACCAAACTAATTAGGGGTATGGAGGACCAGAGCTACGAGACGAGGCTACTAAATTTAAACATGTTCACATTAGAGGTGAGGAGATTAAGGGGGGATATGATTTCCATGTACAAAATGTTTAATGGTGGTAGCAACATTAGCGATAAACTGTTTAAAATTAACTCCGTTACAAAAACTAGAGGCCATCACCTAAAATTGGTGGAAAAAAAATTCCAGCACAAGGGGCGAAGGGGGTTCTTCACAGTAAGATCAGTTAGGGTCTGGAACTCACTGCCACAGGCGGTGATTTCAGCAAATAATGTGGAATTGTTCAAGAAACTTTTGGACGATTTCTTAAGGGACCGTAATATACAGGGGTACGGGTACTCCTAGAATGAGATCCTAATAGGTAGGACTTGATGGACTAATGTCTTTATTCAACCTCAAATACTATGTAACTATGTAAGTCAACAAAATGTATTGCAGGTTCACCTGATATTATTTAATTAATGCTGAAGTTTTGTTTTTTTAAGTATTGAATTACTTTTGAAGCTAAGTTAATGTTAAAGATTATATGGTTTTTAAATGTTAGGGTTTAGATATACTTTAATAACAGCAGCAGGATTAAAATCAATGGAAAACAAAAACCTTTTTTTTAAATTAATAAGTAATAATTAATTTCCATTGGTATGCTCTTCATAGATTAATCTCCATTTGAAATGGCATAACATCATCATATGGCAATGTGAAAACAAGGTTATGAAACTGATTTAAACATGGATGTCATAAAATTATTATCAAAAGGCTAGACATGCTATAATTACATCAGCGATTCATGCAACCATTTGCACGTACACTGGGCAAACATCTTTTTCTAATTGACCCATCAGGAACAATTGCAAAGGTCATGTCAATTACACCTAGTTGCGTGCAATGCAGATGCAAATAAAATCAGGATGATTTGCATTGTAAATGCCTTCTCAGGCTTGCTAGCCATGTTTAATGTAAGCTGCACACAGCAATGTGGTTGTCCAGATACTGTACATCTGACACTACATTAGCTATAAAACTGTTAATATCCCACTTTGATGGAGTTCATTTTCAAGGTTTCAGGGTTGAGCACATAAGAATTTGGTCAAATCCAGAAATAATAATAATCATTGAATATTGTTAAATATTAAGTTTTATAATATGAATTGTTCACTTGATTGTCAAACAATATGTACAATTGTGCTCATAAGTTTACATACCCTGGCAGAATTTATGATTTCCTGGCTATTTTTCAGAGAATATGAATGATAACACGAAAACCTTTCTCTCACTCATGGGTAGTGTTTGGCTGAAGCCATTTATTATCAATCAACTGTGTTTACTCTTATCCAATCATAATGGCAACAGAAACTACCCAAATGACCCTGATCAAAAGTTTACATACCCTGGTGATTTTGGCCTGATAACATGCACACAACTATAAGGCCTGGTTCACACCTGAGCGTTTTACGGCGTGTTCCTACACGCTGTAAAACGCTCAACATGTGAAAACCAATGATTGCCTATGGGCATGGTTCCCACCTGGGTGTTTTACAGCGCGTAGGAACGCGATGCAAAACGCCCTACGCCCAAAGAAGTACAAGAGTTTCTTTGGGGCGTTTTGCCGCGTGTTGCTATTGGTATTCCCGAGTGTGGATCGGGGTTAACAAAGAGGTAACCCCGAGCCACACTCGGGAATACAGCGTACAGGTCTTACCTTGTCCGCGATCGCCCGCTGTGTCTTCGGCGCAAGCCTATGGCAATGTGAAAACATTGGTCAGGTGCAAGACTGTAGCCAATTACCATTTCGGACGGCGCAGTGCATTGTGGGATGTCCCGCGGTCGAACAGACTGCGGACATCCTATAATGTTCGGCGTTCGGCGAACGGTAGAACATGCTATGTTCGAGTCGAACATAGGTTCGACTCGAACGTGCAGCCCATCCCTAATCTCAAATGTGCAGTTCATGCAAGACAGGCGAAGAATTTACAGGACCTGGAGGCTTTTTGCCAGGAAGAATGGGCAGCTTTAACATCTGAGAAGATAAAGAGCCTCATCCAGACATACCACAAAAGACTTCAAGCCGTCATTGATGTTAAAGGGGGCAACACACAGTATTAAGAACTGGGGTATGTGAACTTTTGATCAGGGTCATTTGGGTAGTTTCTGTTGCCATTATGATTGAAAAAGAGTAAACACAGTTGATTGATAATAAATGACTTCAGCCAAACACTACCCATGAGTGACAGAAAGGTTTTCGTGTTCTCTGAAAAATGGCCAGGAAATCCTAAATCCTGCCAGTGTATGTAAACTTATGAGCACAAGTGTAATGTATAAAAACTACAACAACTACACCTACTACAACTGGGTTGCCTGTTGCCATGGCAGTGCCTATGGAAGAATTAGTAGTGAGGAGCTGCAAGGACACCAATGGCTTTATTAAATAAACAGAATGGATACTGTTTGGATGTGCAGGGCACTAAGCAGGAATGCCCATTCCTTACATTATTAGTGTTGTAGCTAGGCTGTATTCAGTCTGAGCTCTGAATTGTTATAGTTCTGCTTTGATTGGGTTTTCCTTAAGCTCAGATTATTGTTTGCTTTTGCCTGCTGTCAGGGAGTGTCCCTGGAAACAGAGCAAGAAGATGCAATATTTCTGAGTTATGAATCAGAGCAAGAAGATGCAATATTTCTGAGTTATGAATATTTATGTCTTCCTGGCCAACCACTAGGAGGTCTATTTCCAGTGAAGTATGCATGGGAAGAATATAAAATTTGGGGTGGACTTGCAGGAGGGCTCTTGCATCCTGGTTTTGGCCAGGAGGGGAGATCATTGGAGGACCTTACCTCCCAGACTTGCTGCCTGGGGAGGGTGATGCTGAAAGAGTAGGGCTGTGTCTTAGGGACCTTAGGGTTGTATGCTGCCTTACTGGAGCTACATTCAAAGAGAGTGAAACAGGAAGATGGCTGTCTGCATGGAGCATTTTGGAGAGAGACTTTACTGCTGAAGAGTGTCCTGGAGGGCTTGATTTAAGCTTCTACTTGTAGATATTGCAGGAAAGTCTTGAAGAGTACAAATTGTCAAGTGCAATCTTAAAGGTTCTCATTTTTGTATTGACTGTAAGTAGAAGTCTAGAGTTGCATTTTTGTCACTTTTTGGGTACCCTGTGCCCTAACCCTTTACTGAGTTTATTGTGCTTGAACCCCTTCTGGACTGATGATGGGATTATACCATCACAATCACTCAGTTAATTAACGACTGGTGATGGGATGGTCCGTGGAGAGACCAGCGCTCATTGAGTTACTGCTGCTCGGGGTCCGAGGCAGACCCTCAACAGTAGATTAGGTGGTCACAGTCCTGTGATCACAGTGATAGCTGATTGCAGTGAGCACAGAGCCATGACAGCCACAGAGCTGGCTGCAGCTGACTGTGTTGTGCAGCTGCGAGCCGGCTGTGTGTTACAAACTGATACAAAGTATCTCTGAGGAGAATACTGTATTCTCCTCAGAGATACTAAGTATCAAAGCCCCTGTAAATAAAAAAAATGACCCCTTAGTGTCCCCTAGTTTTAAAAAAACAATAAAATGTAAAAAATTAAGTTTTTAGGTTTAAAAAAAAATAAAACGTTTTAAAAAGTTTAAAAAGTTTAAAAAAATAGATTTAATAAGAAAAATTATAAGAAAATATAGTGCCGTAGAGGCTATTAAGGATAGGAGACAAACATACCACATTCTAAAAATTGTTCCAAACTAAAATTGTATTTAACTCCTAGCATTTTGTGACCTGTAACTCCCAAAATAAACTGAAATCGCAGACATATGATATAAGCTATAAATCGTGACAAATAAAAGAACATATTAGAAATTACTTTATGTTGGCTACACATTATTAAACGCTGTACAAAATCACTATATACTCTTCAAAATGCACAGAAGGCCCCCAAAGAGGACATAGTGTGAGATTCCACTTTTAAGGCTGCAGGGGGTTATGGGGGGGTTAAACATCCCATGTCCTTTGATGTAAGTGGCTTAATAAGATAGCCGTATGCTACTTTATTAGGTGCTATGCTAGTAAGAAGTATAGAACCTCCTAATGAGTGCAGTGATGTCACAGAGAGAGATTCTTATAAAGCAAAAAAAAAAGTGGAAAAGGTTTTTCATTTCACTTGAGACATCATTTGTCCCTGCTACAATAAAAGCTTGGCATCCCTTGCTTTCAGGATGAATAAACTCTCATGTGCATGCATTGGTGTTACTACATCTTGGGTTGGCGATTCAAGATAGATGAACATGCCGAACTGGGAAGAAAACCGGGACCAGAGTGGGAGTTCGTAGACGTTGCTTGGCTGGTGAGAATTGTGGATTTTAGTTCCGCCCAACGCTCTATGGTTTTCTAGATCCCAAATAGTGACTAGAGGTCCCTCAAGTGGAGGGTAACCTCTGCTCTTGTTCTTTTTTTTGTAAGGGCTTTGCTGTGCAGTTTGTAGAGTAAATATAATTCTGTATCAGTTACTTATTAATTCCTAATACAGGAAATAATAGTGTTCATGCCATGGAATCAGGACCATTATTTTACAATTTTTTGTCCACCTCGGTGAAAGAACCTTTGAGTGGGGGAATGTAATAAGACAGGTAAGATTAATATTAGTCTACATCGGTTTTTTCCTTATTACATTACATTAAAATGCACAGCTTGTAAAACGCAATAATGATTTCAACTGTATAATTAACAGATGTCTCCTTACCTGCTCCCAGGCAAATATGTGTTGATTGAAGTAAAACTGTATTTGTTCATTTGCAATGTTTATACAGAGCTGCTCAAAGGAATTCTTTTTGAAATTCTCAAAACCAAAGATATCAAGAATCCCAATGCTGTATCCTGCATCATCCTCGCTGCAAAGATGAAACAAACTGTTTAACTGTGTTTATTCACAGCAGCAGTGTCCTTTCAGGATATGTGCATTTCATATATTGTATTCACATCAATACCTAAATTATCTTACGCAAAATTACAAACTGAGCGGGAGGAACTGTGCTTTAGTAATCACATGGAAGAGATAGGATAATTTGTGGTAATTGGCAAGGTAAAACGTGTCAATAAGACAGTGTTGTTCCTGCCATGATGACTTCAGATGTATGGTAAGAGTCATTACAGCAGTACCAGCAGGCTATAACTACATATAATGTGGGACTGGAGCGGAGTCTTTTTTTCTTAATTAGATAGAGTGCGTAAGCTTAGAATATTTTTCTTTTTATGGCTATAGTTCTCCCCATTGGGTAGTTTGCCCTTCAGCTCCTGCCCCACTGTCCACACAGAAAGTGGAGAGAAATCACGTTAATGGAGATACAGTTAAAAAAAAACAATTAAACCGATTGTAAGTCTTTCCCACGCTACTAAAAATGTACTTTTGTTGCTTTCTGTGCTCCATTTTGTAAGATCCTGCTGACTTCCTGTCCTGGTAAGCACAGAGGAAATGAAAGACCCCTCACCCCGAGGGGGGACACAAATCGAGAAAAGACAATGTAAGTTGTTTTTGTAAATATTTTCTTTATTTTTTATATTAAGGATTATTGCAGATATTTTTGTTTTTAAGCCAGCAAGTGGTGCATGAGCTTTTTTTCATGTTTTCCAGACTACTCTTTACTAGTTTGCTTTAGAAAGCTTGCTATTTACCCAATTCAGTAGCTCAAATTCTGGTTACACAAATAGCTAAATGAGAGGAGAGACTCCATCTCCCTCCCTTCACCTTCTTCAACTACTTTCTGCCAACTTTCGATCACAAAAGAGTTTTTAAAAAATCATCACAAAAAAGTAGATCAAAGTAAATGGGGTTCAACTCCATTTGAAGTTGAACAACTGTTTTTGTTCAGCCCGCAGGCTGAACAAAAAAAAAATGGACCAGATTCCTCCATCAATGCTTAGGAGCGATGATAGATGAATCCCCAGTATTTCCTTTGTATTCTTACAGCAGGCCCCGTCAGAATACCCAAACAGAGCTAGCAGCTAATTACAACAGCGGCACCCATGCAGCAAATTTCAACCGGTTCATCAAGAACCAGCTAAAATTCAAAATGGGTATACCGGGTTTTAGGATGGTAGAAGCTGGCAGGGGGGTGATTGTGTTTTTGGTGGGCTAATTCTTATTTGAATTTTAAATATTAAAGTAAACCTGGACCTAAATTTATACTTTCTTCATATACAAGAATTGTTTGTAGTTACATCGAAGAGCATTAAACCCTATAGTAACAACAGCAACACAGTCCAGTGGTGACTCACTTTGCCGGCTTGCCCAAATGGGCCCAATTATTTGTTGCAGCAGGCAAACGTTCATTACACCTGACGAACTGGTAACAAATACTCTAATAAACCTGGTACCAGATCACTGTATACTTTGCAGAGTTCACAGTGGTCCCCAAAGGAGAAAGCAGTGTGGGATTCCACTTTTAAGACCGCAGGGGGTTATGGGGTAAGAATCCCTGCGTCCTGTGTAAATAGCTTAATAAGAAAGTGACTGAGAGGGAAGGCTCAGTCTGTCTCCTCCTCCTTCTTGGGTGCTCTGTGCATACAAGGCATAAGTATTTCAACTAGAGAGATACAGTTAGAAAGCTAACAGGTACTGCTATGCTCTCTCTTTAAAAAAAACTCATAGTGCACTGCGCATGCTGGGTCATGGGTGCACCCCATATTGAATGTAAAATTATTATTTATTTCAAAGAAGTATAAAAAATATATACAAACATCAGTTTAAAAAGAAGCAATATAATCAAATAAAGTAAAAATGACCCAAAATTTAATGTTACAATTTTTAGTTAATAGGTACTACTGAATTTGGGAGTCTGGTATCTATCAATAGCAATAAAATTATTATCAAATATATATAGATGCTGATATAAATTCACAAAACTGAAACCGATTTATCTTGATTCTTTTTCAGTTATAATTAGTAACCCCAGAACTATACAGCAACTATGGGGCACTCTGCTATGGAATGGGAGAATTTCTGCTCTATGTTACCTGCACTCTTCGATTGGCTTCAGTAAAGCATTGATTCGGTTCACTATCCAGCTGAAAAGGCGGCCATACAGGGCTTTAGACATGGCATCTCTGACATCGGCTGCTTTTTCCACTGTGTTCTGGCGGATTATGGTTTCCCCACGAGCCACCACACAGTGAGAAGTGAGAGCATCTCGTAGTTCATCAGCTTGGATACAGAGCAAAGAGGCAGCTGAAAGTGAAGCAAAAGATCAAGTCAAGCCACAACCAGTAACACAAAATTAAATGACATTTCACCTTCTGTCGGCAAGAATGTCAGCCAGTCAGCCTCTACTGCATTGCACAGTGCTGTCATTTTAACACAGAGCTCTTGCTGATGAGAGAGCTGCGTTATGACCTCATCAATGAGGTGCTGCTCCTTTACTATCTGGTAATAGGCTGAGGTAGATAAGGAACTTTATCAGCACACCTTGGTATAGTGTAAAACTTGTCATATATTCACATAAAGAAACAGGTATTACAAGTCAACATTTTGGCTTGCTCAACCCGTTGCCTTATGTGAATATTTCTATGCCAAGGTGTGCTGGTAAAGATCCTCATTTTCACTACAGCACCCTGCATGAACTGCAAGCAAGCTTGACAGAACTTCTCTATAGACTGAGACAAGTCTTTGACCAAGCTACATTGCTTTAACTGCAGTGAAGAAAAGTGTGGTCAGAGATCTGAGCATGCTGGCCCTTTGGTAGCTAAATGGTTCACATATGTGTATTTGGTTGCTTGCCTATCATACTACCCTATTTTAATTTTGATGACACCTATGACAACACAATTTGTTGTAGAGCGTTTCCATAATCTTCATCCCATTGCTCCTTTCATACTTCATCTTATAGCATCTTGAAATATACTGATGTCAAATTGTATGCAAGATACTTTCATAAAATATGGCATACCCAACACATCCTGACATGCAGTAAACCAAGTCTCATACACATAACCCTATTATGTTTGCTTTAGGGGGGTCTGAGTTTATCAGAAATATTTCCTTCACATAAAGTATACCTTCTGATGAGATACAGTACTTACAAAGGGTACCAATATAGAATGTAGCGCCCTAGTGGAAAGGGTGCTATTAAATTTAGTGTTTATCAGACTGTATGTGGTCTGATACTAATTTTTAGTTTGGTTCATGTGGTTTTCCCCCTAAACAATCTATCATTGCTTGCCATCTGTCTGCTGCCAGAGGTACTGCAGGGTGTGCCCTGGTGATAGAACAGAGCAACCAATAGGATTGCTATCAGTGGAAATCCCTCTCCAGCCAATCACTGTTGAACGATAGCCAGTGGTGCATGCTGGGGGAGGAGATAAATACTTGGGGTGGACCATGTGAGCTCTCTCTTATACCCTCAGGCCCAGCCTGCGGGGAGGCTGCGCTGGACTGCGTGAGCTGGCTAGGAATAAAAGCCTGGGGACTAGTCATGGAATCATCCTGGAGCCTGGTGGCAGCAGGCCCAGTGGTTTCTATTACTAAAGACAAGGATCAGTAACTTCTACCTCAAGTAATGGAGTGTCAGGTGTTTGACCTCCTGTGCATGGAGCTGTGACCACACTCTCTGAAAAGTCATGGAGGCTACATCTGCCTGGATGATCCTAACCCTCCTCTACTTCTCTCCCTGAAGTTCTGCAAATAAAAGTTTCAAGCATCATAACTACAGTCTGGACGTCACTTTAATTTATCACCAAAAAGGGCGGTAAGTGTTGATGGGCAGAAGCGCGCAAATGTATGCATAGACAAGAAGAATCGGAGTTGTCATAACCCAGAGCAACCGACTCTGGTAACTCAAGGTGTGCTGGTGTGCTGTGGATCCATAATAGAGGTTTCTTATACAGGAAAGACAGGGAGACCTGTTAGTTCAGTTCACTGTAAATCACCCCTTCAGAGCCACGGGTAGTGTTATCCTATTTTGGGATAGCGCTGACTGGGAAGGGGGAGCGCTACACTAACAATGCTGGAGTTGCACATTTTTTTTATTATAATGAGATAGAGCAGGTTTTATGTAGATCTTCCAATGGACACTCAATTAGAGATATTTACCAAATGCAGCACCTTGGCCCAGGTCTGTCGCATTGGATGCAGTCAGAGAATTTGTATTTCTCAGGCAATACTCATTGTGCATTTTAGCATGCATTCTTGCAGACTTACACTGCATATTAAACATGCTTTTTCCAGCCAGAAATAGTATTATAGAAATGCAACATGTGTGATGAGGTGTCAGCAATAGTTTAGGTGAGCTTTCTAAATGTGATGTCGCTTTAGTTGTTCCATCAGAATCCATTATGTTAATAGGTATCAAATCTCAGGAGCTGAAGCACAGCTGCTGTTTCAAGACTGACTTGCTGCTGTTGGCTAAAAACAATATACCAAGTGTTTAAAATTGGAAGAAAATCAGATGTGCTCTATTTCTTTCGCACTTTCTTTTTTTTCAAATGTGCCTGTGATGAAGATTTGGTTAAAGGAAAACTTGTATATACAGATGCTACCATTCCTAACTAGCTTCTCAAATGCTAGTTGTGAGGCTTGTGTAGCTTGCACTAAAAGAAATGATTTGTTCCATCTGTGTATCGATCAGTCGCTACTATTGATATGCAATAATGCATAACTTGAATTCAGCTTCAAAAATGAAGATTTGCTGTCTGAGAACATCTGGAAATAATAGATGTGGCTAAGCAGTTCCCTGAACAATTCACCGTTAGCTTTGAATTCCATCTGAAAAATAGGACTGTTCTTCCTGTTCCTACAGCCTCATCACTGTATTTCTGCAGTGTGAGGTCAGTGAAGGCACTGCTGCCTCTGACTGCTAGTCCTGGGAAATTTGGAGTGAGATTTGGTGATGTCACAGTAGCATAGTGGTTAGCACTTCCCCCTTGCAGTATTGGGGGTGCCCGGTTCAAATCCTGGCCAGGACACTATCTGCAAGGACTTTGCACACTCCAAAGACATGCTGGAAGGTAAATTGGCCCTACATGCATGTGTGATAGGAACCTTGGGATAAATTGGTAAATGTAAGACTGATATTGATAATTTATAGAATCGAGGTGCATGTACCTAGACATGGGAGGTAAAACCAGAATTCAGGAGGAACCAAAAGTGGAAGTGCACAGGGGAGCACCAGTAAGCACAACAGAGCAATCAAAGAAGCAGCCACCAGAAAGATGCACCAGTAAGGAGCAATCCACAGATGACTGGTTGAGGGCACCCCAACTGGCTTACCACATCCCTGGCACTAGCATTACAGAATCCAAATAATTATTGTCAGCATTTTTAAGTAGATGACAAATGCAATCATGATGAACAAGAAAAAAAGATAAAGATAAAATCTCACAGTTTTCAAGTACTGATGGATTGGCAATGGTGCTCTTGTCTATCTGGTGCTCTGAAGCCACTGAGGTGAAGTCAATGTTGCCCACATTTAGAATCGCAGCAAGGATGCTGTACACGCTTCCTAGCTCCTGTAACCAGATACGATATGATTACATGTTTACCAAAAGACCTGATGATAGATATTACATTCCCTAAGGTGAATATTTCTTGAGGTCACAGCTTCAAACAGCATAATGAAACCGTTGTTAGAAATTAAGATTTTTTTGTTACTGCAGACGGTCACTATGAGCCTCGAATATATGTTGGCTACCATACCTGATCTGTGACCTCTATTTTTACATTCATTTCTATAGAATTCTATTGTAGACTGGCTACACTTCTCATTGCATATGTAACACGGGACCTGTACGGACTTTTCCTATCTCTAAACGGTTCTTGTGATTTTAATTTGCCTGTTTATTTCCTAAATTTTTGTTACCAGTTCGATTATTTTCATTTCATTTCTGTATGACATTGAAATGTGAACTGTTTCTTTACTATGTTTGTACTACAAAAACTTAATAAAACACATAAAACAAGAAATTAAGATTTTGAATTAGAAACCTGTAAGGGGAATGCAAAACTAAATGTGCACAGTGGTAAATTATAACAAGACGGATCAATGAATTTATCATTTAGGGATGTTTTTGTTTGCAGCTTTCAGTTTACATCTGTGTTAACATTCCTGCCTGCTACCAGCTCTGCGTATTAAAGCCTAATTGACCTTTCAGATTAAATCAGCAAAATACTTTATAGGTACATCAAAACGAAATGTTGCAAAGCATCATGGTATTAACCTGAGAAAATAGCATAGCCACCCCCTGCATGCTTTAGATAAGGACCCTTGCTCTCCACGTGGAAGCAGTGGTCTCTTTGCCGAGGTCTGATACACCTCCAGCTGAGTGAGACTTATAACTACTCCCAAGAGCTAGCCCTTTGCTTGCATTGCGTCTAAAATAAGGTTTTATTTAAAATTGCATTAGTATGTTGATGATGGAGAGAAGGGGAAACCAGGGAAAGCGAAACATAACAAAAAATGTAACTTCAGCTTTAAAGCAAACCCTTCAGTCATAAACTATATTCTCATAACTTTATATTGTTTTCTTTCAACATTTCAATTATGTGAAAAATAATATACATATTTCCTGGCAGGTAAGGGTATGAAATCAATGTACAGACACACTTATTAAATTAGCTGCCAACCTCAAATAGCAAGAGAAGAGACTGTATCACTCACCTCCATTGTAAAACCTATTACCTTGAAACATTGCTCAATTAAGTCAAACTGAGTTTTATAGAAGGTGTTATTCATAAAATCTTGTACCATTTTAATATGCTCGTTTTGTAGGTACCTGAAAGTGAAGAGATAAATGATTAGCACTTAATTCGGATTCAGGAAGCAATAACTCGCCTTCATTCAGCAACATGCGTCGTATAATTGATGGCGTTACCTGGGAGGTTTGTTTTCTGGCAATTTGTAATGGGCGAGTTTTTTCTTCTCTGACAAGCCGGCATAAATATAATAAAAAATGTGAAAATTCTTCTCCCCTCTGCAGGAACAAAATATGAAGAGCAATGACATATCACTACTGTGTGCTATTACTGAAAAAGTAATAAAAGTAAATAATAATAATTGTAAAATACAACGCATAGTAAATGCCTCCAGTTTTGGAAATATGAAGCTATTTGTGTGGAAACAAAGAGAGGGTGTTGAGATACCTCTAACTTTCTGGTACATGTGTAGGAATGTTAATTTTTTTTGTTCCTGTTTGTATCCACACCTCCTACACTTCCATTGTGTCATGGAAACTGAATGTATTATTATTATACAGGATTGAAATAGCGCCAATAGTTTGTGCAGCGCTTTACAAGATAAGGAAGACATTACGATTACAATACAATTTAAGACAAGATGGTAAGGAGGGCCCTGCCCCTGAAGGCTTACAATCTAAAAGGGAGGGACCAGTGATACATGAGGAGGTAGCTGTATGGGGATGTATTGTTTGACAATGTGATGATTCAGTGGTTAGGTTGAGGTGGGAATAAGGAGAACATAGGATACCAGGAGACAGTGGAAACTTCTGCCTTCTCTGCCATGTGAAGAGGGTGGCCCAGGTGTGGGGCCCACTAAAAGGAAAACAGGAAAAAGTTGGTATTCTATGAACTCAATGGCTTTTTAAAGATGAACTCCAGGAAAACATTTTATTAACCCTTGCAGTGGGGAGCTGGCTTGTTCTTAGGCCGGTCCTTTCAGCCTCTCTCTCCCAGCTCTGCAGCGGTCTAAGGTCCTGAAAGTCATCACGTCTATACACAGTGTATAGACGTGTGGATGCTGAGGAACATACCATCACTGCAGCCTAGAAGGAGACAGGCTGGAGGGAGCACTGTCACAGTCAGCCGGCTTGGAGGGATAAAAGGGATTTTTTTCAAGTAAGCTTTGTTGATTACATTATCAAAAACAACTCTAGTATGTGTTCCTATTATAATGCTGATGTTATAACAGGAGAGGATATGCTACGACTTTACAACGCCTTTAAACTTCATTATTAGCCCATGGTAAAACAAGTGGTCCTGGCTGAATTATACAATATCATGGAACTCACATGGCTTGGTGGACAACCCTGGACTTCTCCAGCAGGTACTCCGAAATCTGTGCCGCTACCACTGTGCCATTCTTAGTGTATTTCATTTCTAAGTATTTCCCAAAGCGACTTGAATTCTCATTAATGATAGTGCAGGCATTTCCGAAGGCTTCCACCAGGTTATTCACCTGTAAGATCTTCTCCTGTAATGTCCTGTTATTTGCCTGAAAAGTTACAAGCAACAATAAGTAACATGAAAACCAGTGTATGGATAAAACTGAAATCATTAGTACCAAGCCTTGCTCCTCTACCTCATATCACACGCACAGAGCTATTTGTATCTTGCCTCTATGCAGGATAGCCTTTGTTCTTCTGCAATCAAAAGGCTATGGGGGTTATTCGCAAAGCTGCCAAAGGCAGCCAAGTGCATAACCGAGCCGTAGTGAAGTGAGCTGAACAACGTTCGGCTATTCACTACGGATGAAATCAGCCGTATATCAGCTGCCTTCGGCTGCACTTTGGTCAGCCGAACATGTTCTGCATGTTCAGCTGAGCCGAAGTGCAGAAGGACTTCGACTCAGCCGATCCAACATCTGGATTGACTAAGCCGAAGCTCCGGCAGCTCACTCGCTCGTCACATAGGGGGCGAACAGCAGTGAGTGAATAGGCGAATGCCGCCAAGCGCATTTGGCTCGGCTATTCTGCTCGGTACCACTGTGGTACCTCAGCTGTTCTGCTCGGTACCTCCCACTTCGGCTGTCACTTCGGCTCAGTCGAGGCAACGCAAATGCCTTCGGCTGCTGTACAGGCTATTATAAATAGCCCGTACAGCAGACCTTCGGTTCGACTGAACCGAAGGGCTCCGGCGGCCGAAGAGACCCGAAGGATGAGTTGAAGCTACGGCTCCTCTGTGAATAACCCCCAAAGTTTACTTTTAAGACCATGTTCCATGGTACACCCATATTCAGGACCGCCCCCCCCCCCTTTCCCACTTATCTTAACCATGGGGCTTCTTTCCGCAGGATCCTGTCATTGTTGGAATTCAGGGTGGCTCTGCCCCCACAGCCATGTCATCCATTCACAGATCCTTTTAAAAAAATCTGTGAATGGGGAGGCTACAAATCCCATCTGCCACCCATTCACTTGTAGTTCTTGTAGTTGTCCATGGAGTACAAATGCAGTGCTGTCACCGCACTTGTAGTCCACTGATACTTCCTCCCATCTCTTAGCTGAAAGTCTGTACCTTGGTATGGACAGGGGTTGGGAGGAAAAGTCTGTACTGCACTCACTATCCACTGATCGTGGATGCTTTATAGGCTCAAATGCAAGAAAAAAATATTGCTTATTTTTTCTTTTATTGATGTGTAGGCCTTTAAGGAAACCCATCTTAACTAAAACACAAGGGCTGCCATTGCTGACCGATACTGTTGAAAATTATAGTTGCTAGATATGTAAGTTTTGTTTCGTTCCCAATTGAAATAAATTATTTAAATTAAATTCAGACCTTTGGATGCATCCGAATTCAAATTAATCCAAATGTTTTTTTTCCTGAATTTCGTCCATTTTGACAAAGATGACCAGTACAGACTATGAGGACTAGTATGTACTAAGATGACCAGTATGGACTAAAATGACCATCCAAATTGATCCAAACCAAAAACAAAAAAATTTGGATCGATCTGAACCGATACAAACAAAAATTCTGCACAATCTTGGATCTAAAATTTAAAAAAAATTTTTTTGAAATCGATCCAAAACAAATCAAAACTAAACAATTTTTTTGAGCCTTTACATGATTACTAGTTGCCTGGCTGTCATGATGATTCTATGGGGGGACTTAATCAGAACTGTAGCAGATAAAATTCGGAGCAGCTGTGCATGGCAACCAATCAGCTTCTCTCTTCAGTTTGTTCGGTTAAGATTTGAAAATTAAAGAGAGAAGCTGATTGGTTGCCATGCACAACAGCTCCAGATTTTGTCTGCTCAAGTTTTGATAAATTCCCTTCTCTGTCTTTAGTACTTTGAGTTAGAGAACAAATATGCATATTGGAAAAGTCAGACAAAAAGTTAAATATTCCCTTATTTGCATATTTGTTCCAGGTCACTGCCTCAAACTGTTGAATCCCGGCGGCCATCATTACAGCAAGCCAACTAGCATTTTTTATTCCAATACCTGGATCAGGTATTTTTTTTACTGAAGTTGGGGTTTTCCCTCACAGAATGAGTAAAGGGAAGCATTTGAAATTGCCAAAAGGAAACCATCATCATTAGATGCAGAGATGTTTCCCAACATTAAGTAACAGAATTCAAATATTTAACTGTGTGTAACACTTTCTGCTGCTTTGAGTAAATCTCATTTTTCTCCCTTAAAGAGCATTTGAAAAATATAATTTCTACCACCCAAGTTAAATAGACTGGTTTTTGCAATGGAAATCCGCAGAGCATCACTGAGTAAATATCAGGCCTGGAACAAAGCTTTGTTTATTTGATAGCTTTTATTAGCTCTGTACTGACTTCCCTAGAGTAAACCTTATTTAAACGACGGCTTACAGTATCCATTTTAATTATTGCAGATGCACTAAGCTAATCTTTTAATAACATGATATTGACAGTTAAAAGAGAACTTTAGCTAAACCTTCTTTTGGCTTTAGTTCTCTTTTGGGTTATTAAATGTACTTCTGTGACCCAAAGTCAGCATATAGCAAGCACATAGCTCAATATTGTTGGGATCCACCCCTGCTGTCTGATTGATAGCTGTCTCTGCCTCTCTAGAGCAAGAGCCAGCTGTGCCCGTCCCCTCCCCTGTCTGTCCAATGAGTGCTGGAGGAACAGAGAGAGGGGAGGGAGGAATCCCAGCAGAGGTGATTGTCAGTCACCCATGTGCAGTACGAAGCCATGAGCTGAGTGGTTTGTGATCACTCAGCTCTTGAGTTATAGAGCCAGCAGGTGACAGCTGCAGTATCACAAGCTGGCTCAAACTATTGGGAAGAGTATATTTTACTCTCCCAATACTTCTCCTTTAATAACACATGCACTTGTAATTATTATACATAAGCCAAACCACGGCCATTGTTTTATAAAATGATTGTTATATTTGATGTGCACTGTGCCAATATTTTTCCAACTGTAGGACTGATTTTTATATGGTGCTGAATGGCATAGGAACACATGCAGGAGGTGGTAGTCCCTACAGTGCAGTGTGGCGCTCTGAACTTGGGATGCAGTGTTTAAGAGGCGTCCATGCCTTCGATTCTCTAAGTGCATGGAGACTGGATGCCCTTCTGTATCCAATATACCAGCCTGAACACAAAATACATATATTAGCCAAGAGTAGGTTTCATAGAGATAGGAAACTTAAAAACCATAGGAGCCATGTTTTTTTTTTGTTTTTGTTTCCTATGTAGATAAAATTTTGATCACTCTGAGGTTCTACCCAAGAATTACCAGATCTCGGCTTCTCCTAAGCAAAAACAGAGTGACCATTTAAAGCACCTGTATGGTAACAGTATTCTCCCCAAGGGAAACAGCCTAGGTTGACCACACTATGATAGTAGTAACCTGAAATCTCATCAGTAGTGAGTTGCTCACTATCTAATACAACATCCTTTTATCACTTGCATACTATACTATTAGGGCTCTCCTGCCTGTTCTTTCTATTTTGTATTTCCTGCATGCAGCCTACCTATTTTCTGGGTAAGCACATCAATTCACAGATAAGAGTAGGTTTTAAATGACCAGAATGCTACTTCTGACCACCACATAGGGAAAAGCACACAATAAATTACCAGCTAATAGTACAAATGCCTTAACTCATTGCACTCCCTATCTGCACGGCACAGTCTATAAACAGCCATGAAAGTCCCCACCTTCCACAGAGAACCAAGAGATATGAGGGTCGTGATATGTGTGATGGTCAGGTCAGGTCTTACAGGTTTCTACAATGGTGATATCAACAAGGGCTTCTAAGCACTGGAAGGGTTCTGTTCTGCACACAGCAATTTGTCTACATGTTGGGAATTTCTGGTTAAGTTGGAACTGTTTTTCATAGAATAGACTAGAACATTCTGTTTTTGTGCATGCCCCCTGGTCAATTTGGAAGAACATCATGATTGGTTTTGGTTGGACAGCAACGTAACTTAAACTGGCCATATACCGCTTAGATTTTCAAAAGAACTTTTGTACGAACGTTCTTTCTTTTTCGACTTTCTATTAGTTGATGGGGTCAAATCATACAATTGATTTCGACCATAGTGATGAAAAAACCCCAAGGAGCAGGAAGGAATTTTTTTTTCAAACGAACGACAAAATTCTAACAGTGCATGTGGTTTTCATTCGGGAAGCTCCATTTATTCCAAAATCGACTGCTAGAATCAAATAAAATTTCAATTGACGTTGAAGTTTCTGATGGCATTATCAGGTGGTAAAGAAAGATCTTTCGTACGAAAGTTCGTTCAAAATCTACTAGTGCCTTGGTTCTCAACTGGTGGGTCGTGACCCAAAAGTGGGTCGTGACCCTGTGTTCACTGGGTCCCCGTGGGCCTTCCACTTTTCTAGGTGAGAGGCTCCTCAGCCTCCCCCTAGCGCAGCACTGTCAGTTCGTACTCCAAGCAGCCAGTCAAAATATGCTGCCCGGTGGCGAGTGTCAGCTTGAGGTAGGGTGGGCTCCATCCATATGTGCATTGTTTACAGCTCCCTCGCATGCCCTGTAGAGGTGTCTGGACCGGTGTGATGTAACATTCTGGCTCCTGGGACCTCTACAGGACGTACAAGGGAGCTGTACAAGCAATGCACATATGGATGGAACTCTGTCACACAACAGCAGCCCACACCGGACCCCAGGCTAAGGATCCACTCCAGTTCTCATAAGGTAGGGTGGATCTTAAAAAAAGAACTATTATTTTTTTGGAGAGTGTGTCTGTGGCTTTTGCTTTTTGAGGGCCCATTCGCAACAGTACAGTGCGTTAATCGCACAGTCCCATGTGATTAACGCACTGTACTTCGCAATCGCACCTACCACGCGCTTTGGTGTGAGAAGTGCATTGCATTGCCATTCATTTGAATGGCACCCCAAATGCACCTCCCACAGTTCTGTTGCCCGTATCGGAACGTGCAGTACCGCAATGCTGTGCGTTCCATTGCAGTGCAACTTGGGTCACGACTTAATGACCAAGGACAAATGTGGGTCCTGAGGTTACACAGGTTGAGAACCACTATACTAGTGTATGGCCATCTTCAGGCTGAACATATGTCTTTGCGTATTTTGTCCTTGGTAAGACATCTACATTGATACACATGTTGAACTTTGACTATTTCCCTATTCAGTTTTCCCTACTTAACATTTTATACTTGAATGCTACAAGCAAACAGATGCAAACAGGTAAAACAAATATAAAAAAGTAATTTACCTTTCCAAGCACAGTGAGTTGCTGGACTAATAGATGAGTCCCTTCAGTCTTTCCTGCACCGCTTTCTCCAGAAATAACTATGCACTAGTATCAAAAGAACAAATGTAAGTATATTTATCTTCCTTGGAATTCAAACTGAAATACATCAGTGTTAGGAATCTTCAACTGAGAACAATACAGTAAACCAATGTTCACTATAAGGTCTGTCTGATCTATCTAATATTAAAAAAAATACAACCACAAGAATTATGTAACTTACTGTTACATATCATGTATGTTAAATGGAATAGATTTTATTGGACTGAACAATGTCACAAAAGTGTATTAACCTCCGTGGCGGTATGATTCTTTTCAGTTTCGTTATTTTTTTCGGCGCAATTTTTTTTCGGATCTTTTTCGCTATTTTATTTTTTCGTTTATTCCGGGTTTTTTTACTCTAACTCCGGTTCTGCCCCCGTGCGATGCGTACGCTCGCAAGGGACGTAAACCCGGAAGACAGATGCCGGCGCCGGCCGGAGGACACCGCGCGGCTCGAGGGACAAGGTAAGTAAATATTATGTGATATTCCCGAGTGTAGCTGAGGGTATGAAGAAGTAACCCTGAGCTGCACTTGGGAATACCGCCAAGGAGGTTAATACTATCAAACATATGTGTTGATGTAAGTGAGTACTAATAATCAACCCAATGTCACAGCCCAAGACCTTGCTTCTCAATGTGGCTGCTTTCCCTGAGAGTAAAGTCGAAGATGTAGCAAGTGTTCTGCCAAGAACCCCCTCTTGGAAGTTTGAGCTTTGGCTACCCATAGGTCACTTAACAGATACTTGCAGACACAGAGCAGGGGAGGTGCAGGGCAAGGAGGAACTAAAAAGTGAGAGCTGAAATAAGGAGTGCAGATTCCTAACATCGGAGGCTTAGACTGTGGATGCAGCAGAGACTATGGGCACATTGATGGTTAAGCAGAGAGTGGATGCAGTTATGGTGCAGGAGAGGCTATGGGTGCAGTAAAGACCAGTGGCTGTGGGCGTTGCAGAGGCAGCAGGCGGGCAGCCGAGGTGCAAAATCGGCTGCGGGGTGGTAGAGGTGTAAGGGTGGATGCAACAGAAAATGTTAGACATGTGTAGCGGCTAAAAATTTGTTTCGTTTCGGATTTCGTTTATTTAGTTTTTGGACTTCGGATCTTATGTGTTTCGTTTCGGGAATCGTATTCGTATTCTGATCTGAATCGGAATTCGGACGAATGCCCGAAAATTCAACTTGAGGTGGGGTAGCAGAATTGGCACATTTGTCATTTCTGGTTGCTGGGCTCTAGTCTTTACTATTAAAGGGACATTAAAATCCTTTTCTTAATTTGTTTTTATCCGTTTAAATGTTAACAGTACACGCACAAGATTTGGACTAAATTTGTTCCAAATCCGAAATTCCGGATGGGAAATTTCGGATGCGGATGCTTTCGGATGATTTCGGATATGTTATATTTCGGAAATTCGGATGCTCCACATCTACAAATTTCCGAAATTTCATCCGAATATCGATTCGGAACAAAACGAATCGCACTTGTCTAGAAAATGTGGATGTTGCAGAAGTCAGTGGAGGTACGTGGGTGATTGCAGCAGATACTTGGAGGTGTTGTAGAGGACAACAAAGGTGCAAGGGTGACTAGAGCAGAGACTTGTGGCTGTTGCAGAGGGCAGCAGAGGTGCAAACGTTATTTTGCTGTAGTGGATAGCCTTGATAGCTCTGGGGAGTAGTAGGCACAATGCTGGGGAGTAGTGGAATGCCGAAGGTAAGTAACCGGGACAATCCTACTATAAACAAGTCAGAAACTGAGCACAAAACATCACAGTATATCCACTAAAGCCTCCAGCCAATACAATTTATGGTTAGAAATATACATGTATAAATAATGTATCAAAGTATAGAATGTAGAAATAAGGTTGCCATACACATAACAATCAGGTATGTTAGGATGTTTCAGACTGGTAGTTCTACAAGTGTGTGTCATGGTTGGCCAATTCTGTTGCATGTTGAAACTCCAGCTGCCAAATCTTACTGAGGTCCCTATTTTCAAATATACTGTATTGGCACCTTTATACTTATATTTGGAACCCTACTGTAAAGATCTGCTGCTATGAAATGTATCTAGTAAATGTCCCAAGTTACTGGTGCTGCCTCCATAGATAAGCACAGGATAGAGTCCCAAGTAGATTTGGTGGGAGTTCTTTGAAATGTGTTTCCATGTTAGAGAAGGAGTAGATCAAAAACAGTATGTCTTGTCAAAATATAAAAATAACCAGGATAATACCTTTAATGACTAACAGCAATGAAAACTTGTACCAAGATGTCAACCTTAATCACCTACATTCTGGCATGTAATGGAGGAGAAGTCCCAACAATGTAGATATGCTGCTTGTTTACATCTGTCTATTGGTCCCCTACTTAAACCTCTGTGGCTTTAGAAACCATTGCCTAATTTTGCCCTGCCTGATTTTATTATTGCCATGCCATATGTTTGAAGTGAATGCTGTGGCTCCCAGAATTGCTCTCCTCTCCACCGAGCATACACCATCATCAATCTCTTACTGCAGTTGTGAGCAAAGATTGGCAAATCTGAAAGATACAACTAAGTGTTTTTGGCTTGCATCTGTTATCAGTGGACAATCACAGCTACAACAATACAGCACTGGATGGTAAACCCTTGCAATTGCAGCGGGAGATTGATGACATTGTAGCAGTAAAGAAGCAGCTGTGGTCAACCCAAATATTTAGAAAGAGTCAGATTTCTGTGAGATAAATGGCTCAGTTCTTCATAAACTGTATGAATGTCTGCAGCAGAGGAAGCTTATGTAAATTTATAATACAGAGAGAGCAAACATGGTCATCAGAGATTAGAAACTGTGGTGGCAGGGTCTCTTTAAGGTAAACACTGCACTTATAACAAAATATGCACATGCTGAAAATGAAAAGAAAAGTTGCATCTTTTAATGAATCCACTTCACTAGTCACAGCAGTAAAAGCAGCAAATGGATTTGATCCCTGGAGGAAATTCACAGTGGGAAATCATCAAGATGAAGTCTGAAAGAGGTATGAATATGCACTTTGCAGTTATATGAACTGGAGTTATAACTGCGCACTTATATGAGGGTCTTCAAGGAAAAGAGAGGTGCCATCCCCTGACATGTTTCATTTTAAATGTGTTTGTACGAGTATGCTCCTTAAAGTCTGCTCTTTGTTGTACCTGCAAAAGTATCTTTCAGATTGAGATCGAGATGGATATGTTAGAGATACAGCTTTGTTTAACGGCATGTTTGATAGCTGGCCAGTGCCCGAGAAGATGGTAGTCAGCGGGTATGACCAAGCTCTGACAAATATAAGCAACATTCTGGAAGGGTCTTCTGGAGTTTGAGGCTCTGATGATGTCAGCGTGGGATCTTGGGTGTGAGCCCAGATTTTTAGGGCTCTTAGTCCTTCAGGTCTGGAGTTTGAAATTGCTAAACCAGGTTAAGTTTCTTACCCAAGCTGTTCCTGCGGTGGGACACTGAAGCTGGGGACCTCCACTGGTCTTTTGTGTAGTTGTGAATCTGGTGCTGAAAAGACACAGGAATCTCTGCTTGTTGGAAGATACTACTGCTATGTGTATGGGGAAATCTGAACATCTACCCAGGGCCTCAAAGCCCAAAATAGAATAGTTGCTACCTTTGCTCTTTGAGGTATTTCATCTTAATTCTCCTAGGGTCTCCAGTAAACCTTTAAAAGAAATCCCAGGACCTCATAACCTCAGTATGTGAAGTGACCTTAGGATTCAACTCAGTGGACATAAAGCCAGAGGAAATGTACAGCAATGTCTCATCATTCCTCACTAGTGGAGACTCAAAACTCAGTTGTCACACAAGTGCACATAGCTAAAGATAGATAGATATAGCTGTTGGAGATAACAGGGCTACACGTTAAACACCTCTGGTATTACAACCCGTAGCTTTATACTGATACAGAGCAGTGAGACCAAAATGCTCTGTTGGATGCTGAGTACATGTCTGTGCATGTAGCAAATTACCTCTCATTCCATAATTAACTTATTTGTCTTGAAAGGAGTTCACATTTAAAGGGAATATATGTTTTGTATTTGAGTTGCCTAAATATGAAATATTGTATATAAAAATGTAATACATACTTCTTGTAAACAGCAGGTTGATGCCCTCATGAAAGCTCTCCACTACATCCACTGAGTAAGGTATTACTATGCTGTGAATAGCCTGTCATTTGATCTTCTGCTATTTAGGTCAAATCCCATCACAACACACACACACAGCTGAATGATACAGAGAGGCAGTCATGAGTAGACATACAATGTCAAGCATTCACTCTGTATTCCGAAGCTGATTGTTGTAAGAACAACTGACATTTGCTGATATTTACCTTTTCCAAGCTCAGTTGCTCTATCAAAACCGTCTCTGGTTCCTCCAGGTATGACAGGGCATGTGAACTCCTCCCAGAATACAGTGCTTAGACCTGAACGACCAACTACCAGGCCTGAACACTGTCACATGAACAGGAGAAGGAAGACGTGACCCTGTGTAAGTCCTAACACCATCCGACACGGAGCTTGGACCAAGGAATAGAAAGGCAGAAGAGCGTGTACGGGGGGAGGCCAATAAGTTCCTACCCTCACCATGATCTAGATGTGCTAGGGATCTGAAATGTGGCAGGTTTATAGGTGGATATCTTAGTAATATGCATGCCAATTTTATTTTTGTAGGTCATGGTAAATTATAGTTAGAGCCAAAAGAAATGGAGTAGGTGTCATACCGGATATAGTTGAATACCGAGCTCAACTTTGGCCACCTCACTTGGTTCTGTGGCAGTTGACGGATGACCTTCCCTTGGGTCATCCTGTATATTTGTGTGACCACACTTAAATTCTCTCTTCCATCGTTTGACGCATATGATGGACAATACTCTCCACACACAGTTGACATCTCTTCATGGATTATTTGGGCAGATTTCCCTTGAAGATGGAGGAACTTAATCACGGCTCGGTATCCAACTTTGTCTGGCATGACACCTACTCCATTTCCCTTGGCTCTAACTATAATTCACCATGACCTACAAAAACAAAAATTGGCATGCATATTACTAAGATATCCACCTATAAACCTGCAAAATCAGATCCCTAGCACATCTAGATCATGGTGAGGGTAAGAACTTATTGGCCTCCCCTCGTAAAAGGTCAGGAGCAGTAAATGGAGGGTTGTTCTTACAAAGAACCTGTAGCTCTACTCTGACCTGGTTCATTTGTGAAATATATATTTTATACAGGTAATGAAACATAATATAAAATGTCGATTTTATGTTAAATTAAATACAACTGACAAATTGGCATTATAATTCACTTTAAGAGAGTCAGTGACACATACTACAACAGTTCTGCCATATCTGCAACAAAAAAAGGATTGAGAATGCAGCACAGGCGTCTGTCTCATTGCCTATGGCTTCAATCCCGTCACTGTTATCATAATTCTTGGTGCTGAGCTGACAGAGATTAAAAGAAGGATTAACTGAGCCACTGAGGGACACTCTGAGTCATAAGGAATTAAATTATAGTCTTGTAAAATGCATCAGTAATGTTTTTATAACATGCAAATAAGCATAAAGCAAAGCCCCATTTAAAGGGCAGCGTTCCGAATATGTATTAACAACACGACAAGGTCAACCTGGCTGAAACAGGAATTATTAGGGCTGGGCTTTTGTATATAATGCAAGGAATGTAAATGCATGAGCTAACCATTTTTGTCTAAACTGTGAAGCAGCATTATATATGCATCATGTGCATGATTTTTCCATATATGGCATTAGTGGAAATATGCTTTTAGAGACTTTTTGGTTGATAAATACGTTTTGCTGTGTGAAAATCACACGCACCTGGTGTGTGTGTGTGTTTAGGTTAGTAAATCACCCCCTATATCTCAGTTAGATACTAAAGGGGTTTGAACATTTTTTTTATTTTACTTCAAAATGTAGCAGAGGATACATCAATTCACGTAAAACAGAACTAACTTCCAAGCTCAACCTATACCAAAAATATTTATTTTGTTATAGATAGAGCGGAGAAAGGTTAGAGCCACTGTTCTGGCTGAGTCCCAACTCGGGAGATCTCCTCTTATTTTCTATCAGAGCTATAAATAATGGAAAGCTCTTTAACAATGACACAGACAAAAACAAAGACATATTTTCAGTAAAAATATGAAGGGTTGGAACATCTGACAAGCTAGTGTTCTTACATTTTTGCAGTTTCTATTGACATAAGCATGTCCCCAGAACTACGTCTCCACGGACTCCTTTTCTCTCTGGCCTGGCTCTTAGAGGTCAAAAAAGCATTATGTTCTGTGCTTTTAGTGTGTTTAAATTGATATCAAAGTCAGAGTGTTTTAAAGCTATTTGCTGATGAAATCACTTACAATGGATGCTGCTCTTTGATATTTAAAAGCTTTAGTTTCCTGCAGAACCAGCTGCTCCCCTGAGCACTGGCCCTGATATCCTGTTTTAGGGTGGGCATTTCTCTTGCAGGGTCCTATGGAGCCACTCTTGTGTGTGCTAGTAAGCTGTATGTGTCTCCACCAACACACAGCCACAGAAAAGCTCTCCGCTCCTTCTTCCTCTCTCCTTCCATCAATAAGCTAGTAGATGGACAGTTGCTGGAGACTGCTCTGCCCCTTGTGATTTTGTATTTGACAGGAAGTTTAGGGAAGCTGAGATAAGAGAGTTGGAGTTGTTCAGAAACATGATGATTGTAAAAATATGAAGAGAGTTTAATACTATAAATTTTCATTCATTATCCATAAATTATGCATAGTTAGGGAACAGCATTCTAAAACATTTTCTTCTATGTTTTAGATGCAAATAAAACACCCTAAACTGATTAACACATTCTCAATCTTTAATGACTCGATTCCTTGGCTACAAAAATTGGCACAAATTGCAACAATCTAAATTGTGGGTATTGTGTATTTAGTACAGTTGGGATTTAAAGTGTATAGAAAGCTAAATTACTAAAAGCTAAGTTGGGATTGAGTTTGAAGTGTTAAATCCCCTGCCAAGTTTCTATTGTTATCTCTGTCCCCATTGTGATTCACTCTCTATATTTGTCCTGGTAACCATTGTTACCTGGATAAATGGTGATTGGGAATCCAAAAATTTAGCTTTCCATCGGAACAGGAGGTGAAGAAAACGGGGGCACCTGTTCCAGTGACAGCTGTTTAAGAGGGAATTTACTCTCTGTAGAGGTTTATTCTTACTTCCTGTTACATCTCTTGGACAGGATGTGCTTGGACATCTCTCTCTCTGTGGGACACAGCAACCAGACAGGTGTTTTAATCATTTCCTACGCTATACAAACCTAAAAAAAACCTAAATAAAATTTCTCTCTTTAGATATACTTCGAATCATAATTCTATCCAGTTGCGTAATTAGAGCCACAGCAGCTCAGCTGGCTGCTAGGGGATCTAGGGGTTGAAGGGGGTCCCATTAGTTTGTTGTGGTAAATTTAACCTTGAACATGTGAAAATACCACACGTTCAAGGTTATCATTAAGGGTTGGAGTGGTTGCAGTTGATGACAGTGCTAATCCCCTGTAAAGTTTATAGTGTAGAGATGACTTCAGATGCACAAGGGAAGTCTTTGGAATCTTGAAATCATTACAGCTCAGAGACAGGTCATCGGGGAGGGGGCATCACATTTTTGCTATGGGGCCCTGTGATCTGTAGCTATGGCCCTGATTCTATCTGCAGTTAATTCCCCTCAATCACTGGTTTGAATATTTACAAAAACTTGCCAGTTCCTTCCCATCTAAAGCACAGGCTGTCTGGGATAGAAGAAACAATGTGGTAGAAACATTTGTAGTAGAAAAATTCTAGACAAGAAATCACTTACCTGATCTGAATTGTAAGTGACCATAGATTGATAAGCTACATCAGCTACAGCATAGATGTGCGGAGGGTTGGCTGTCCTCTTTACTCCTCTGTACGTCTGTGCATGCTGCAAGAAGACAACTGGCATTATTTAGTGTTGGCATCAATCATAGGATTGGAAATGACAGCAGTGGATTATTAAGGTATCTAACAAGACCATCAATTTCTTTTTTTGTTCAATATTTACACATTCATTACACGTGTTCAGTAAATGAACCATGAATGATTCAACAGAGAACTTGAAAGTGACAAATTCAGCCAGAAAATGTAATGTCAGTTGGTGTGCTAGGAATATTCTCCACTGCACAACTATTTCAAGGAACACCAGTGACAGAGGAAAACATGCCAATTCTGCCCATGGGACTCAGAAGATGGTTGGACATGCACACGTGCCCATCGATATGCCTGTGGTGGAGGGAAATAGGAGGAGGAGGAAGAGAGAAAGAGACTCCATTTGTCCATGTGCCAATTTGATATCATGGTTTTTCCACCCAGGTATTTTTGTGCATGAAACATTACTGACACATCTTGGGCAATGCATATCCTGATTTTAAGGATTTAAAAATCTACCATTGTTTGTAGCCACAAACCTCCCAGCTCGTTCTCGTGATAGACTAACTATAACTTCAATACAAATTAGTAAACTAAACCTGAGATTGTAGTCTATTACAGGAGCGGGCTTGGAGCGGTGACTACTTTACAACACACACAGGGACCATGGGGAACAGAAGTAGCCACCCTCCAGAAGGAAGGACAGTGTCAGCACCAATTCAGAGATGATTTGAGGATCTACAGCCGAGTGATATACAAATAAGATACATTTTTGTTAATAGTTAGGTAACTTGAATGCATTTTTAAGATTTAATTCCTGAGTTTAGTGTCACTTTAAATGTGCAGAAGGAAAGATTGAAAGTTTTATAAACCTTAATTTTTCAAAATTCTAACCATTATAAATTTCTTCAGCTGCAAATTCTTTCATCAAACCTTTTTTCTTCAGTATATCAAAAATAGGATCATACCTCAGATAAATACAAATCTAAACTTCGGAATGGGTTAACGGCGACTAGAATGTCCCCAACGTAAGTATATATCTGATCCCTGTTGTAGCGCTTTTGTAGCTGGTCTGTCACAGAATTCTATAATAGAAAATAAATATCAACATCCAAATTCAATATTAACCAGAGAAAATATTTTGATGAATAAAACACAGAGCTTTTGGTCAGACATACGGGAACCTTGTGATGATATTGAGGTATGCACAGACAAAACTTTTTTTAAGTTTTGGATAGAATAGGGAAGGGTTTAAACAGTTCAAGTTAAAGTTTGCTGTCTGTGTCTCATTGGAGAGACTTCCCTACCCTTCCTGTTCTGGAGATACAACAGGTTTTGAGAGAAAATCTCTCCAAAGTAAGGGGAATTCCCCTCTTAGACAGTTATCAGAGGCGCAGGTGTCCCTATTGGAAAATGTACCCTCACTTTGTGTCCCACTAACAGTCACCAGATTAAGAAGTAAGAAGTAAGAGCAAATGTCTTGAAAGTGAAGGAAATTTCTGTTGTAGACAAGTGTCCACATTGGAAGATTTCCCTTCACTCTTTTTTTTGTAGTAACAATAACAACTGTAAAAGTTTGGATTTTCCATCTTGATGATGAATCTCCCCAATGGGCATCAAAAATGCCCTCAAGTTTATTTCCAATGGACATTTGATAAAACTAATAAACTATGTCCTACCTCATCTAGAACTTCCAAGGTTGCCAGGTTATCCACATCTTCCGAGTACGGTGTCATAGACTCTGCAATGTCCTCAAGTTTATTTCCTATAGACATTTGATTAAACTATTAAATAATGTCCTACCTCATCTAGAACTTCCAAGGTTGCCAGGTCATCTACATCATCCTGGTTTGGTGTCATAGACTCTCTGAACATCCCCTTTTTAGTATGAATCCGCTCATGCCTAAGGAGCAAGCAATAGACTTTCCCTTAAAATTTTGAATTTGTGAAAAATAATTTTCCCGAGTGATCCAAGAACTATGAGCAGGTAGAAAATTCAGACAGCAGTCCAAAAAGGGTTAAATATTCATGTATGATATTCAGAAAATAACTTGATTCCCCTTTAGGAGAGAAGTAAATGTGAGAATACAATTTTGGATGAGTTGTTTGCAGAAGCCTAGTCGGTTTTCTCATCTAGAACACCCAAGTGATGATCTACACCAAGGCAGAAGAGGCTCATTTACAGTCAAATGATATACCTAGGAGAATATAGCCCGGGTACTTGAGTCATGGTAACAGAATATGCTTTGAATAAATACAAATTGTATCAGGCGTCAAACACTGAATGTGGTCAGCCATGACTAAGGTTTATTGTATAGAGGCTTCCACTGTACCGTGTCATAAAATCTCACTTGTTAATAGTAAAACCTTTATCTGAATGTTGTATAATAACTTGTTCATGAAGAGAAGTTGAAGCCAAGCAAATTACACTGACTGGACAAAAAAAAAGTCACCACCTGGAATTAGCTAAGCAAATAGATTAGAACCTTCCATTGGATAATATGTCTTGGTTCAGCAACATTATGTCCCCAAAAAATGAGGTCAGCTGCCTACCTAAATATACTGAATGATCAGGTTTTTCCATCAATGGGTTTTATCTTCCCTGATAGCACATTGGGCATTTTTCAAGATGACAATGTCAGGATTCATTGGGCTCAGATTGTGAAAGAGTAGTTCAGGGAGCATGAGATATCATTTTCACACTTGGATTGGCCAAACCTTAACCCCATTAAGAATCTTTGGGATGTGCTGGAGAAGACTTTACACAGTGGCTCTCCCATCATTACTACATGATCTTGGTGAAAAATGAATGCAACTCTGAACAGAAATATATGTTGTGATATTGCAAAAGCTTATCAGAACAACGCCACAGTAAATGTGTGCCTTAGTCAAGCTAAAGGCCGTCCAATGAAATATGAGTGTGTGACTTTTTTTGGCCAGGCAGTGTAGAATCACCTGCTATTTATGAAACTATAAAAAAAAACATACAAACTTAACAGAAAAACAGAAAACTGGATTTAAAAAGTGTATGTATAGCCCAATTTATTTTAGCTTTGGATAGAGTTAGAGAGGATTAAAACCCACCAGCTAATTAAATTCTATCTGTCTCCCATTGGGAAGATTTAACTTCACCTTAGTAGTCAGTGTTAGGACACTTAACAGGAAAGATAGGAAACCTCTATAAAGTGAGGGGAATTCCCCTTAGATAGGGGACCCCATAAAAAGATTACCCTTCACCTTCTGTTGTGGTAACATTTTAGTTTCTCATCAATTTCTGTCCCAGTGATAATGGTCACCAGGACAAAAAGAGGAGTGCATCTTCCCAGCGAGGACACAGACATTAATAAAAACTTTACAGGGAGTCAAACACTTTTCTATTCAATATTATAAAAAACTTTACTCAACGCATGTTAACGCACAACATGTGCACTATGTAAATAAGAGTCAGACAGGTGACATGTATTTCCTGGTTCATCAATGCAGATTAAGATAGATAGATAGATAGATAGATAGAGATATTTATTTATATAATATTTCAAATACAGTTGCTAATTTTCAGTAAAACATTTTCTTGAAGACAATACTCTTCATGATTTCACTGTTATTGGGCAGATGAAGTATAAATAAGCTGTTTACCTCTTTTTCTCCATTATCCCCATTTGCAGGTGGATGTCTATGAATTCCATTAGCTGCTTTTGAAGTGCTCTTTCATTATGTCTAATTTGCCTAATAAATGCATGTTCCAAAAGATCACACACCGTGGGTCGTTTCTCAAAGTCTTTTGTGAGGCACCTGAAAGATGAAATAAATCAGAAAAATTAGGATATCAAAATTCAGTAAATGTTTTCCCCCGTTCTCATCAACAATGCAGAGGTCCTGATTCTGGCCTGAGGAAATACAAAACCTATGGGGGTCACTTGGCAAGGATACATTTATCATGCAGGAACCTGGGTTAAAGTTCTTCTGCACAGCATGTTAGACAATGCATGTCTGTAGGGAGGGTGTACTATAATATTGCAGATAATAAGTAAACATTGAAATGGACACAAAATTGCCACAAGGTTAAATCTACAAATTTTATATTTTCTAAAAACATAGCAAAAGACTTCTGTGTCGTCCACATTCCATTTACCAGCCACAGCCGTAACAGGGGGAGGGGAATTTGAATTCATTTTACATTAAAACAATTTAGCAAGAAGAGGGAGGCAACTTTGATTTTGATTTCTTCCATCATCTGATAAGAAATTAGAGTATGTGGAAAATTTAGCTAGTAGCCAATTCTACTGATGGGTTCCAAAATAATTGTGGATGGACTTAGCATATAATGATCATATTAGAGATACAATGATTCATTTCAAAGTTGAAAATCACTCAAAGGAGACTTAAGTATATATACGTTTTAGCCATGCACATTCCTGTCAATCCACAAGCTTTTGCATCATTGTGCTTGAACCTACACCTGTTATTAGTTTGCTTGCAGGGAAATATCACCCTTTCCCTAGTATTTGCATTAAAACATTTGCATCCACAAATAAAAAATCTCCATCCATGGCCTGCATCTTTGGCATCCAAAGCAGCAGGTCTGCTAGGACCGTCACTTTTACACACAATATTTTCTTGTTTAACTGATCTTCACCCGGCTTACCATAGTGGGACAATGTGTAAATATACTTACATGAGATGAATGGTTTTCTACTGGAAAAACAGTGTATGGCTTGCTAACTGTTCAGAGACTATGTGCAACCTGTGAACAGTGTGATCATCACTGCTGTTGCAGATTCCAGAAGAAGAAATACATGGAACTTCCTAGATAAGTTCCCGGGACCCTCAATAATTGTTAATGATAATGCAGCACCTTAGACCATTGCTTTGTCCCTGCAATCTGCATAACAAATTCAACAGACTGAGAATTCCAACCTATTCCTTATTATGTCCAAACTACAGAACCAAATCTACCACATGCAAAGTAGGTAGAAGCTGCATGACACAAAAGAGGCCAATTTGATGCCAACAGTAGCATTCTATGTGGTTGATTCACAATTTGCACTTCGCAGAGGATTTTCCCTTAGCTTGGGGAATGTGGTGAAATTTCACTTTGCAAAGAATACCCAATCAGGTGCAAAGAATATACAAAAACTGTATGTTTGTATAGGATTGGCTGATGGAAGTCAGCAGAGCTTTCCCATGTTCACTAAACTAAGGGGGAACTTCCCCTGCAAAGTACAAATTCCCACGCAAAGTGAACAGCCTATTTACCTAGTATATCAACGTCATTATGTCCATTGCCATGCGTATAATCAGCCCTTTTAAAAATGAATTTGTTACTAGAAATAGTAGCTTACTGCTGGCATTTGATAACATCATAATCAGTGAGTTTTTCTCCAAAAACACTCTTTTGAATGAAAAGGTCAAAAATAAAAATAAATCTGTATTTCTATATTGATTTTCCATACGTTCTATCACGCTCCTCATAACCACATTCATTTAGAGGTTGTAAGCTTACTTATTGAAGATGCCCATAGGATGTACTTCCTCAATGCTCTAACACGACTTCACTCAGCCCTGCAAATATGCATTTCCCTGTGTCACAGCGCTCACAGAGCCTGCCTTCTGAAGTACAACTCAATGTCTGAACAATGTAGCATTATCATTGTTTGCTGGAAGCAATGCATGATGGGCTATGTAGTCTTGAGAAATCCAGATTGCCTCACATCAAGCAGCAGAGAAAGAGACGCAGAGCACACTGGGAATCCAGGAAGTTGATGAAAGTGATGGGCAGATGGAAGGCAGCACTCACTACATAAAAGGGATTTTTTAAGCAAGCTTTGATTGTATTATCAAAAACAACTCTAGTATGTCTACCTATCACAATGCTGAAGTTATAACAGGATAATTGAAGAGATGCTACTTTTAGTTGTTCACCCAACAAATTGCAGGACACAGGAAACAGAATACAGAGGGACGTGTAGATGCACCCAAATGCATTTCTTAACCACCTCAGGGCCGGCCGTTGTAAAAAAACGGCCGGCCGAGAGGTCTCTAGATCTGAGCGGGCGTCTTTAGACGTCCGCTCAGACACGCCCCCTCACGCGAGCCCGGGATCAGCAGGTTGCCTACGTTCTTAGGCACTCATTTAAAAAGCGTTGGTATAGCTGCATCACAGCCATACTGCTGCCTGAAAACAAAGTGTGTGTGTCGTGAAGCATGGTATGACAGAGAGCACATAGTGACATTCTCTTGCCTTTGTACAGTAAATCATTTCCTTAGTCTTTAAAGAACACATAAGGGGGATGAGTTTATTAAAACTGGAGCAGACAAAATCTGGAGCAGATTTGCACTGCAACCAATTAGCTTCTCTGTCTTATTTTCAAAACTTAGCTGAGCAAACTGTAGAGAGAAGCTGATTGGTTGCCATGGGCAACTGCTCCAGGTTTTTCTGCTCCAGTTTTGATAAATTCCCCCCAAAGAGTAATTTAAGGCCAGTCCTACTTCCACTTTTCACAATCAAGAATGTTAATGGTAGATTGTCCTAATCTATTTGGCAATTTTGGTGATTCAAAGCTAAAAGAACATACTTCTGTATTAGAAATCAGGCCACAATACCTCCTACTCATGGACATCCAAACCTGCCAAGAACATTGCCAGATTCCAGTACATAGGCCTGGTAAGGAAGGATTCTACTCACTTGTGTATAAAGTCATTAAGTTCTGCTGACCACAGTTCTGGCTGACGTAGGGTTGGTGGCGGGTTCCTGCAAAAGCACAAAACATTATTATCATTATAAGTTTTATATCTCTGCTATATAAAAATGTTAACAAGCATTCCAAAAAAAGGGAAATTGTCTATATTGTATATTATAGAGCAACTCTATTGGAAACAGGCCTTATTGGTAAAGAAGAACTCCAGGAAAATGTTCTTAACCCTTGCAGTGGGGATACCCTCGAACTGCAAAGGTTAAGTTCTTGTTTTTGAATAGGTGATAAAATAACAAAGTTTTATTCATCTTAAGCTCCAGTTCCGAGATGCCCCGCTGTCCCAGCGCTCACTCCAGCCAGTCCGATTCTCTGCTGCAGCATTGAAATGTTCCTCAGCGTCCTCACGTCTATACACTGTACAGGTGAAACTCGAATAATTAGAATATTGTGCAAAAGTAATTGCAGTAAGTGCTGCAAAAGGGGCCCAAACCAAGTACTGAGTACATATGCATGCTTGTACTTTTCAGAGGTCCAATATTGTTCTATGTACAATCCTTGTTTTATTGATTGCATGTAATAATCTACTTTTTTGAGGTTGTGGATTTGGGGTTCTTGGGGTTTTCATGAGCTGTAAGCCATAATCATCACAATTATGACAAATCATGGCTTGAATTATCTTGCTTTGCATGTAATGAGTCTATCTCATATATTAGTTTCACCTTTTAAGTTGCATTAGTGAAATAAATGAACTTTGCACGATATTCTAATTATTCGAGTTTCACCTGTATATAGACATGATGATTTGCATGATTTTAGACCGCTGCAGAGGAGGAGGAGGAGGAAGGCTAGAAGGTCTAAGAAGAAGCCGGCTCAGAGCTTCGGCTGAGTATAACTTTTTTTTTAACCTAGACACAAATAAGCACTTAACCCTTAAAGTGTGGGGTAGACCCACTGCAAGGGTTAAAAAAAATCCTTCTTTAAAAATGTGATCCCAGCTAGGCTTTTATTGCAGTGTTAGACCCGAGTGGAAAGAACTTCGGCTTTTACAATGCTGACTTTGGCTTTTCACCTTTTTCTGCCTCTGTCATTGGTCTAAGTCAGCTCCCTATGTATTCCTAATTGTAATCCGATGCAGGGCATCTAGGATAACATTTTGAGGCTTGTGTCCCTCAAACAATTTTCCAGAGGAACACCAGAAGCAGGTGAGCAGAGGCTTTTCTGGAAAGCCAAATTCAGTCCATCACTGCCATGCCTAAAGTTGTGGAAAAGCTTCCCATTGGGGTAAAAATCCAAAAGTTCTGCAAAACCACAAACTGAGAATTCTTATGTATCATTTCATTTAATGCAACACAACAAAGAACTTTTTAACCCATTGCCAACCTTTGGAAATGAATGATCTGCTGTATAGTTTGGTATCTCTGTCTCTCTCTCTCTCTCTGTATATATATAAAGAAAGGTACCTATCAAAACGAGATCTGGGGACACAGAAGCATTACTAATAGAATAATTTTTTTAATCTTTAATAGAATTAATTTAAAAGTATTTAAATAGTACAAAAAGCCTAAAACATCACTAAACTGAGGGTTCCGCTAGATAACTAAAAGCAAGGTAAGAATATTAACAAAAGAGTCTTAAATTTTGTTGTAAGTACATCCGCCGACAAACTCCTGAGCCTGACAATATATAATATGTTGCAAAGTAAAACAAGTTTAAAAAAAAAGAAAGAGAATATTAGAGAAATTTAAAAAATGAAATAGAAAAAATAGTAAAACAGATAGAAACATAAAGTTTAAAATAATTGTACGTTACTGAAAATAATAAACATATTCATTTAGATTATGTTAGTTGATTAGTTTGTTTTTTAGTTAGCTAGATTAGTGGATTAATTCAGGGAGAATAGTTAGTTATTAAAAGTTAGCTTAATTATTATTTTTTATTGGAATTACTGCAGAATTACAGCTATTGAAAGTGTTCAGGATAGATAGGAGAAAATAATTAAGTGAAAATCTTTGTATTCATTATGCAAAATATATTTCACAATAGACAAACTATAACGGAATTATTTTCACATATTAGTCAAGTTGGCTATTCTTTGCGAAGGAAATCTTCACCACATTCACTAAGCTAAGTGAAAATTCCATTGCAAGGTGAACAACCTTTAGTTAACCAGCCCGTTTGAGTCCTCAGCCTAACTTTAGTTGCTGCATGGTCATTCCAGCTCAGAAATTCAGTATTAAAGCCAGGCAATTGGTATTTTTTTGCCATTACGGTAGATTATTTTTAACCATAGCTGTCCTTAATGCTGTTCTCTAAGCAGGTACTAATAACACAGGTATTAATAACCAATATTAAAAATACTGTAAATACCTAGGAATTTTAAAAAGAGCTCTCATTGGATGCAAGTCAGCCAATGGAGGATCACCATCACTAAGCTCTATGGCTGTAATTCCTAAAGACCAGACATCACAGCGTGCATCATATGTTGCATCTACTTGCTGCTCACATGCAATCACCTAGAAAAACAAGGCAAATATGGAAAAGTATTACGTGGGATTTTCTTAGACACATCAATAAATGCTTTACAATTAATACTTAAAGGCAAAGTCCACCTTTAAAAAAAAAATGATAGTAATAATAATAACAATAGTTGCACACTTCTTCATAAAAGAAAAAAATTTGCATTTATCATTGTTTTCATTGGAACCAGTAAAGCATTGTGGCCACAATCAGTGGATCGTAGATGCAATGCTCTGGCTCCTGCAGACTCTTCCTCCTCTCCATGTCTGTAGCTTGGTATAGACATTCAGTGACATGAACAGGAGGAAGAATGAATGGACTACAAGTGTAGTGATGTTACTCTCTCTCCATTCATGTCTATCAGTCTGCTCAGATCGGATGAAAACGAAGAACATTTTTTGTTCCTAAAGTAATATTAAAGTCAAATTGTTTTTAAATTTCAAATGTTGATGAATAAATGCTGCTTCTTGATGTCTAAAATTTTAGGGGTCTATTCACTAAGCTGCCGTAGGCAGCCGAGTGAACGACCAACCTGAAGCTGTTCGGCTATTCACTTCAGGCTGGTACGGCTGATTTCAGACGTATATCGGCTGAAATCAGCCTCCATCGGGTGGCTTCGGGTCGGCCGAACATGCTCAGCATGTT